CTTAAATTACTGTCTTGGGGAACTGGTACCTGTGTCATTAAGCTGAAGTTAATGTCAAAGCTCAGTGGGATAAATTAATTAGATTGGCCAATAAGGACTTGGGGGAAATCTTGGTACAGTTAACAGTACAGTTTACAGTACAATTAACAGCTCACCAACCTGCAGCCTGGATGGGGTCTGTTCTGCTGAATCCTTATGACGTCCTGAGGAGGATTTGGGAATCTCCATGACGAGGTGACCTTCAATTAAAATAAAATAATAAATGACATCAAGCATCCACAGCTGTTCTGGGATGACTCAATAACTCACAGCCCCAGCAAGGAGGAGGGCAGAGGGAAGCAATCCTTAAGTCACTGCCTGCATACAGTACAGCAGGATGAGGCAGTGGTTTGCAAACAAGCCCACTCAGAGTCCTGCTGCCTATTTGACTGTTGCCCACTGAAATCAAGTTACACATCTAATGCAGTTTGCTAAACAAATTCTTCTGTGTTATTTCCATCTCTCTGGGTTCTATTTAAACTGATTTCACGGCAACTGTTGAGACTGCATCCCCTGCCCCCATTTGCTCTCCTGCATTTTAATGCTTTTGTGAAATATTTTCACCCCCAAATAGGGAGATTATGATCCCTGAGCTGCTGCTGTGCATGAGCTTTGGTTGCGCAGCAGCCCTCAAACCCAGCTGCCTCTCAGCTCAGTTTAGGAGACCTGGTGACTACATCATTGGAGGCTTGTTCCCTTTTGGGATGGACACCATCAACCTGACAGCACGATCAGAGCCCACCTTAATTGTGTGTGAAAGGTAAGACGGCTGTTTGTTTCGTTAGCACGTGTTAAATTTGGTCACTTGGGCACAGCTGAAGGCAACAGACAGGATGCTGAGATGTCAAAGGACGCGTACTGATCACCATAACACCTGTGGATCACATCATTCCCTGCCCCCTATTACTGCAGGTTATTTGTAGATGGGCTGATATGGGCCCTCGGGATGAAGTTTGCTATTGATGAGATCAACAACTCCACGTCGCTTCTCCCAGGAGTGGTGCTGGGCTATGACATCTACGACACCTGTTTCGAGCCACTGGCAGCCCTACAGCCCAGCTTGCTGTTTGTGACCCAAAATGGCACAACTGACATTGGCATAGCATGCAACTACACCGATTACCAGCCTCGCATCACTGCTGTGATTGGACCACATCAGTCAGATCTCTGCCTGCTGACAGCCAAACTATTCAGCTTCTTCCTGATTCCACAGGTAAAGAGATACCCAGGAAAAGTGAGAATTGCCCTTTTTGGTGGGGGGAGGATTTGAATGGCTTAATTCAGTTGGAAGGGACCTCTAGTCCAGCTGCTGTGTGTGCTTCATTTCTTTGAAATGGGACCATTAGAAGCGTAGGTTTCAATCCTTGCCATGGATGTCCTGCGTGATCCTGAGTAGGTGGTTAAATTTCCTGGAGCACACTTCATGTTTAACTTCCCAGAGAGGAGAGGGCTGGCTAACACTGCCCTGCAATCTGTGTGAAATGGGAATTTACAGTGGAAACTGGGAAAATCTCACTTGTGACTGTAAGTACTCAGTTATCTCAATAAGAAGAGCTGTCGCAGTCAGGTGGATATAGCTCTAAGGTATTTCTGAATCTGCAGGTCAGCTATGGGGCCAGCAGTGAGAAGCTCAGCAACAAGGAGCTGTACCCATCCTTTTACCGAACTGTTCCCAGTGACAAGAACTTGGTGGAAGCTGTGGTCCTTCTGCTGAACGAGTTTGGATGGAACTGGATCGCCACCATTGGAAGCGATGATGAATACGGCCGAGGAGCCCAGGAGCTGTTCTTAAGCACAATTGGAAATAGTAGCATCTGCATTGCTTACGAGGGCCTAATTCCTTCAGACCTCACAGACCCCAAGGCTGAGAAACAACTGGAAAAGACCATTCAGAACATTAACAAGATCAATGTCAACATTATTATCCTGTTTGCCTTTCAACAGCCAGTCCAGGCCCTGCTGGAACAGAGCATCAAGATGGGACTAAGCAAGAAGGTCTGGATTGGCACTGAAGCATGGGTGTTGTCTGACATAGCTGCCTCCATCCCAAACATTCAGAGCATTGGGACAGTCTTAGGCTTCATTATGAAAGCAAGGACTGTCCCTGGCTTCCAGAAGTATGTTGCCAACCTTCTCAGCTCTGTTCAACAGGATGAATTTTGCCAGAAATCCAGAGAATTCTACCGCCACGTGAGCTCTGACATGCTGGGTACACAATGCAAACAATGTGACCACATCTCCCTGCACAACATCTCCTCCATCCTAAGCCACTCCCAAATACAACCGGTGTACATCGCAGTCTACAGCGTGGCTTACGCGCTGCACAGAGCGCTGGGGTGCACCCACCAAGGGTGTCCCAAAGCATCCATCAGATCTTGGCAGGTGAGGAAAGGTCAGAAGGACCAACAACCATTTTCTATTCATCCCCTATGCCAGCATGTCACATTTCCCTCTCCAGGGCTGCATTCAGGCTCCCACCATCTGGGCCTGGAACAACAAACAGAGCAGCTGATAATACAGCAAGGAGGCTGATAGCTGCAACCTTAGCCCACATCAGGGGGAACTGATTTCATCAATCACAACTTAGCTTAATGCATTAGAAACCTCCAAGGAACAACATGAGCTGTACTGATATACCTATTGTTAATTCTCATTCTCTCCTCAGCTGCTGCACTTCATGGATACCGTCCCATTCACGGTGAACGGCCAAAGTTTCAGGTTTGATGAATCCCATGGCACAAATGCTGGCTACAAGCTTATATTCTGGCACTGGGAAAATGGCAGCCTCACACATCTGCCTGTGGGAGACTACCAAGAATCCTTGTACCTCAATAAGTCCCTGATTCAATTTCACACTACAGATCAAAAGGTAAAAAGGGTGGGCAATCTCATATTGCTTTTAAGTACCTCTTTTGCCACTTCATCAGAACTGTCCATGAAGAGCTGCCAGCCTACATGCTGCTCCTACAGGATTTGTGTGAGACCCAGCTTGTGCCCTCCTGCAAACAAGTAATCCATCCCCACTGTACAAAATTAGAATTAAGTATAATTAGGCATTCTCAGCACTGACACAGGTGTGATGCCAGCAAAGCACAGCCAGTCTTTTGTTGGGTACCCAGCCGACACTTTTTTCCCCTTTTGTTCAGGAGCCCACATCAGAATGCTTCAGAGAGTGCGAACCAGGGCAAATCAGGCAGATCAAAGGATTCCACCTCTGCTGCTATGACTGCACAGACTGCCCAGAAAACACCTTCTGCAGTTCTAAAGGTGAGGTTTGAGAAAGGCAATGCCTCTACCTGCTTGTATTGTGTCTGTCTGCTCCTTAAAGTCACACGGGTTCACAGAGCTGATAAGGACCTGCTGCAGGCTCCTCCTCCAGGAAGCACTGTGAAGGCAAAAAGTTTCTCTCCGTTCTGTTCTGCTGCACAATGCCCAGTCTTGCTGTACAGGTATTCAGTGCTGGACCTTCCTCTGATGATCCCACATAGAATGTGCAAAGATAAGGTGTACGCTCCATCTCTGAGGTAGGAGAGAGGAGAACTGATGGAATTCTGAGGTCTTAGCTAGAAGAGAAACCTATGATGGAGATCTGGGATCCTTCCTGGGATGAGAAACAAAACCAAGAAATAACATGGGAATTTTTGGAGGGAAGGTAGTGAAGTAGAGAGGGGGAAAAAAAAGAGATTAAAAAATCAAAAGCTATGGACATCCAGTATGCTTGGGAAGGGAGGAGAGGGGAAAGGCAGCCAAACCAGCACCCAGACAAGTTCACAACTGATCATTCCCCCTAGGCTGCATGCAGCAGGGCAGCAGCACACTCCTGCAACGTGCTTTTCTCACTGCTACTTTGCAGACAGCTCCACCTGCACTCCCTGCCTGGAGCACCAGTGGTCCCCTGCCAGGAGCACGCAGTGCTACGACCGCAGCGAGAGATTCCTCCGTTGGGATGAACCACTCACAGTTGGCTTGCTGGTATCCATGTCCATCATCATATCCCTGATCTGTCTGACAGCCGTGCTCTTCGTTAAGAACCTCAACACCCCCCTCGTGCAGGCTTCTGGAGGCAACCTGAACCTCTTCGCCTTGTTTGCGCTCGTGCTGATGTGCCTCAGCTCCTGCCTCTTCATAGGGAAGCCCCATAACAACCTCTGCATGATGCAGCAGATTCTCTACGCCCTGTGCCTCAACGCCTGCTTCTCCACCTTCCTCACCAAGTCCCTGGAGATCGCTCTGCTGACAGAATTCCCCCGCTGTGCCCGCGCTGCCCTGCGCTGGGTGACGCCGAGCAGAGCCTGGCTCCTTGTAGCCCTGTGCCTCCTCACTGAGTGCCTCTTCTGTTTCTGCTACCTGCACCTGGGCCCTGACTACGTGCTGCCTGACTACAGCTCGCTGCCCACGGAGGTTCTGCTCACGTGTAGCACCGCCTCCTGGCTTGCCTTCGCTTTGATGCATGGCTACAACGGATGCTTGGCCTTCGTCTGCTTCCTGTGCACGTTCATGGTACAGACCTCTGGGAAGAAGTACAACATGGCCAGGGGGATCACATTTGCCATCCTCATCTACTTCATCATCTGGATCTTCTTCGTTGCCGTCTTTGCCACTCTGAGGACAGTCCTCAGGTCTGTGATTCAGATTGGTACCATTCTGATGGTCAGTCTGGGTATTGTGGGGACCTACTACATCCCCAAATGCTACATCCTCTTGCTGAAGCCTGATTTGAACAGAGAGGATTATTTCCAGTACTCCCCCAAAGAGGAGCCAGAGGGAGACCCTCAGTAAACAGGCAACAAACCAGATCCATTGTAGCCTCATTAGAAGTTGGCTGTATTTTATATCATATCATATCGCAGAATCATATCATAGAATGGCCTGGGATGAAAAGGACCACAATGATCATCTAATTTCAACCCCCCTGCTATGTGCAGGGTCTCCAACCACCAGACCAGGCTGCCCAGAGCCACATTTTAGCAAGAATACTCTGTTCAGAATGACTCTATTAAGGTATGATGCAAACTCGATCGCCAATTTAATGTAACTGATGTGAAACAAAAAACTAAACCTTCCAAAGCCAATGCCTGAATTTGTGTTTTACATGGGGGAAAAATAAATAAATAAATTCTTCATTTGGACACAAAAACTACAGAAACCATTTTGAGGTATAAGGGCAGCTGTGTGTGTGACATGACAAGCGTATGACCCATTCAAATATCAATTCTCTCATTTGTGTTTCATTAACATGTGAGCAAACATGGAAATGAGGACGAGGCACACAGAAATGAAGTGCAAATCACACTATCACAGTCGCTCCAAGAAATCCCTTCCATCTCAAATCACATGCAAAGAATGGGGAGGAACACCTCTTACCCACAGGGACATTCTGCAAAGGGGACAGAATGAATCAAACACTGTAAGCACCAGGAAACACCCTTAATCTCTGCAGCACATCCTGTTCACTGCACAGGAGGAGAATTCTCAGCTCCAAGAAGGGCAGTGCTTTGCTCCATTCAATATCAAAGTTACAAAATGGGTAACAGTGAGAGTTTCAGAAGGCATGACAGATGCTCATAAAGGAAAAAAACAGACTGACCCTCAGAAAAGCTGCTTGCTACCCATCCCTAGTCAATATCTAGCTAATATTATGAATGTTCTACATCAGTTACTGAATAAATGATCATCTTTGAAAGTGCTGAGCGTGGGGTTCAATGGAAGAAGGTGTGAGTGTAACCCTCTGTAAACCCACAAGGCAGCATTACATATTACTGCATGCCAACTTTCCCAAACCTATTCTTCTGTACATCAAAGCCACCTCTAATTGCCAGCCTACCTGCTTACAACACCCAAAAGACAGCAAAACTCTCACCTGAAGCCTGGAGGTCCTCAAGACTGGAAATAGCAGCAAGTCTTGGTGAGCATTCTGTGGTACCTGAGGGTCTAAGAAGCATTCCTTGCTGCAGTGCTGTGATTTCATAGCAGAACAGCAGAAAGGGAAAAGTCCCTGACTGTGTTGCTCAGCCATCCTCATCTACTTCCAACCACCTGCAGACAATTCAAACCAGTTCACAGACAATTTAAACTGGTTCACAGCTGGAACCCATCAGGCCCCTGCACTAATAGGCTGCACAGTCCAAATTTTGGACCATTTTCACCTGACTAGAACTGCCCTGCATAAGCTAACATGGTTTGAAAAGGTACATATGGGCAACTCTGCAGGACTGTCTCATAGGCTCCTACGTACCTCTGCTGTAGAACTGTGCCATTTGTAATGGGTGCTCCCACAATAACTGCTGCTTTGCCTTTTCCCCTTTCTGCTGGATCTCTACCAGCTGGAATATCTGCCTCCTGAAGCTGTGATTGCCACTTGTAGGTGAACCACTGAGCTTGCCTCTGCTGCAGTTTGCATGCAGCATCTGGAAGAAAGGGAATATCCACATGAACCAGCTGGATACACAGAGAGGATCTACCAGCAGATCCATCTCCTGGCTTTGCAGGCAGGAAAACTTGCTCCATCCCATGTCTTTGTAACAGGATGCTTTTACTTCCAGAAATATTCCTCAGCTTTTCCTTTATACTTACGCCTGCCAAACCATGACGGGGGAAAGGCTGGTAATTAAGAGCTTGGGGGATTTATATTACTATTTTTGCACCAATTTATTCATCGCTAGCTCAAAGCTGCAGAACTTCTGATGAGTGTCAGGGCCTCGTGTTTCCAATCAGATGTCATTAATCTGCACAGCTTTTCAGCCACCTGTGACCCAGTTCAGCTGTGTACACATACAGGGCTCCTGTCTCACTCTGAGCTGTAATCATTTACAAGCACCATTAAAACAGGGCTCCTGGCTGCCTACCATCAGCTCCTGAATGTTTCTTCTTTTGCAGAGAGGGCAGGGAGAAATAGAAGTAACTAAAAAAAAAAAAGAGGCTAAGATTCTTTTTCATTCTTCTTGAATTATAGATAGTGCAGTAGTGCAAAGAACTGAAGACATACACTGCAGTTATCACATAAAATTAAAAGCTTTTTAGTGTTTAAAATAGCATTTACACATAAGCAGCTATATATTAACTATACAGACACTTGGGTTTTAATACAATATCTACAAAAAAGAATTCAATTATGCAATAGACATTTAACAGGAACAGTGCAGTCCATGCCATTAAGAGGTCACTCTTCGAGTAGAACCAAATCTAGAAGAGGTGATAGTCTGGGTTTTCATTATTTAAAATCATGTAACTTTGTTCCTCTACTGTACATAAAATTCTTTACAGGTATTTCTAATCACTGATTAGAATTAATAATTTTAAATCAATCTTATTACAATCCAGTTAAATGCAAAACAAAACAAAACAAAACAATTACATCGACTCATGAGCTGTCAAGTCTCAGGATGGGACTGCCCACTTAGAACAAAAATTATAGCAAAAGTCAATGTCTGTGCATCACTGCTCACCATCCAATATACCTTTGGATAAAGTGTCCAGGGGACTGTTACCTTTGAAAAGTAAATTTATTAATGGGAGGTAAAAGACAATAGCAGTGCTTTTAAGACTACTTGCCAAACAATGGTACTCCTCAGAGTTAATACATCAGCCCTCCCCTCCCCACCCCAAATTCTACCTCCTTTGGATAGGAGACGTCATCCCAAACTGTTTTCTCCAAGTTTCCAAACATACCTCTTAGTCCTCGTCCCAGGCTGCTGCCAGGTATGTGTGAATGCTAAGCCCAGCTGCAGGGCAGGTGATGAAGATCTCAATTCCAGAAATTAGAAAAAAAATGTCAACTATTTAAGGCTCCTGTTGTGGGGTTGTTTCAGTGCCCCGTACAGCAAACCCACCACTTCTCACTGTAGTCTCAGGGGGTGGGTCATACATTCTAGAGCTCAGCCAGTGCCAGGTATTTGACTTTAATATCATTTTCATGCCCTGATAAGAGACAGTTCTGCAGGACTCCAGCCTTCAAACTTTCCTCCGCCTGGCATAGCACCTCTATCACAAGTAGCTTCATTGGCATCAGCAGCACTTCCTTCTGCACCTTGTGCTGCACCCAACAGGAGAAACTTGCACAGTTAGGCCCTAGCCCCCTCTATTGCAAAGACAAATGCACATGCATTGAAAGCCAAGGGTTTGGGAAATCTTCTGTCTTCAATCACTTCTGAATATCAAGCGCTAGCAATGTTTCAGGCCAACCCTCCCCTTACCTCCAAGCAGCTGTATGCTACAAGGGGAGGAACGTCAGCTTTTGTTTTTCCACATGCAGTGGCCATTATGGATTGCACTGTTGACAAAATGGTCATTGACATTTCCCAGCTCCTCTCGCAGGCTCTACGTGCTGCCAACCAGCCAGCAAACCCATCAGTGCGCTCAGAGCCGTTCTGATCCACGGGTGAAGCTTTCAGGCCAGCAGAGAAATGCACTCCTACACCTCTGCATGCACTGCCAGCCTCGTTCCAGAGTGACCCACAGACACAGAAGTATATAACACAGTCATTTCAACATTGCAGCAAAGACACAGAACAGTTTCTGCCAACAGCACAACGACGAGACGAAAAAAAGAAATCAAAACCCAGCAGGTGTGTAAGCTGCAGCTCTGGAAAAAACGTGAGGAAATTAAATACAATTCTTCCATCGGCGAAAGCTCAGCCCCTGGTTTCTGTCCATTTTGGCAGTATCAAAATGACAGTCTTTTCCTCCAGCCCTGCACGTTCTGCCTTTAGACAAAGTGGGCCAGAAAAATCCTAGGATGTAAGAGCCCAGAAAAGTTACACTCGATTTAAAAGCAGAACCACCAGTGATTGTCAGGAAAGTCGCAGACTCCTCAACAGTGTTCTCCTGGAAACATAGGAGAAGTATTCATTTATTTTTTTTTTACCCTGATTTATCTCATTGCTTTCAATGTCAATCTCTCCAAATGGTTTACTCGGTTTAATTAGTGCCTTTGCTGCATTTGTGGGAGGAGAAAAGGGAAGAAAGGTCACAGCTGCACAGCCAAGTGTTAGGAAGTGCCATTCTTCTGAATGAGCCACCAGCAAGTCTGCCACTAAGAGCAGCCCATTGGATTATGAAGAAAGCACAACTGTGAAGATGCTGTACAGCTTTAGGGAGATTTTCTGAAAGAAGCAGTCCAAAACCACTCAGCTGGTTCCAATGTAATTTGGGTTCCTAGTCTGAGTGATTGCTTCCTAAAAACATTGCTTCCTTAAAACCCTGCTTCCTTTGAAGTGAGACTTCATTATCTGCTCAACACGGATGTTTGAAATCTGGACTCGGCTCTTGTATAAAGGATGGATGTTTGCACACAAATCTGCCATAAGAAGTAATAAAAGTCTATCAGAATGAACAATGTGCAAAATGGAAAGCTTGAGGAGCAGTTTTCCAGGGTGACACAGGAGCACAAGCTGCATGTGTTTAGTGAGAAAGACATGTTCACTTTTGATGCTCATACTGGATAGTCACACCACCCATAAAGCATGGAAGATACCAAAAAGAAGCTTCTCATCAGTTAAAAAAAAAAAAAAAAAAGGCTTATATACAGTAAAGACTGATTTTAAAGCCTCTGTCCTAAAACCTGCTAGAAACAGTTGCTTAAGTGAAAGCTCCCAGCAGGAGTTTTAGCACAGGCTGTGCTCAGTGTCAGGCACAAGGACTCACTCACTGTACCACTCATGGGCTGCTCTCACCTCTCTGCTAACAGCTAATTCCCACTGGTGTTCAGGACATGTTCCTGTGGGTAACTCAGCAATTGGGGTTAGGTATCTCCAGGTTTCTGTTTCAAAGCAGAGATTAAGCTGGGGAGAAAAAAAGGAAAAGATACTGCTTAGAAATGAAGAACAGAAGGAGAGGTGGTCAAAATGAAAAGCCACGTCCCAGTGGGAGCCAGGATTTCTCTGTCTCTGCTTGAATGGGGAATATGTCCCTTCCAGAGGGAAAAGCTGCAGCTATGCCAACAGAATCACGCTGCAGCAATCTTTCTATTTCTGTGGAGACAACTTTTAAAACTAGTAAGCAAGTGCAAATCATAGCCAGAAAAAAAAAAACAAACAGACATCTGTCAGCAGCGATGTGACCGAAATGCCCAGGAAAAGACTGCAGCTACAAAACTGAATGAACTAAAATTACAGGTTCTGCACAAGGAGCACGTACAGCAGCAAGATTCCACCATTTCCTTCACAGAATAATGGACATCTGAAGAATAAGGAAGATGGATTTACACTCTCTAGGCAGTTGAAGGCAGTCACAACTTGGCTTTCTGCTGGGAACTGGTCTGTGCCTGCTCCTTCCCAAGCATGTATGGTCTGTACTCACAGGTGCTGTATCTGCTTAGTGCTGACTGATGCATCCAAGCACCAGCATTACGAGGCAGTATCACAGATACCAGCCAACAATCCTTTGTTTTTCCTTGCAGGAGAAAAAGCACAGGAAAATAAAAGTGCCGTTATGCATTACTGGAAATTCAGAAGTCACGTGAAATAAGAAGTCCTCGGATCAGCCCAAAAGATACACTAATTGCACTGAAAGTAGGTGCCACAATTACCAAAGCTCATTAAGATGTGAATATACACCAGCCAACCACAATCAAAAAAACAAGAAGGGAAGAAAGAAAAACGGGAGGATAAAGAGAAGACGCCATCGACTTGCAGATATTGAACAATCCTAGGCGTTGGTGGGGTTTTTTTGTGTTTGTTTCGTGGGGTTTTTTTTTTGTGTGTGTGTGTTTTGTTGTTGCTGTTGTTTCATATTGTTGGTTTTTCTGCAACACACCATTGCAAACCGGGAAGGCGTGACATGCAAAACAGACAAATTTCTTCCCTTAAGTGTCCGACAATGACCACGTTTCCCACCCGGCCCCAAAACGATCCACCCCCGGCCCTCCCCAAAGCAGAGTCTGAAGGCACTTCCTCTCACATGATGTCAACAAAGAATTCACAAGGGTTGCCCATGGCCTTCTGGAACGACTGCCGGCTCCCCGTCAGCTCCGGAGGAACGGAGCTCAGTTCTCTCACCGGAGGCCCTCCAGGGGGTCCGCTCGTCCCGTAGACTTTCGAACCCAATTTGGGGAGGTTGTAGAGGGGTGGGACACCCGGAGGCCCGTAAGAATGATGGCTGTGGTGGCTCCTCTCGCTGTGGGTGGCAGAGACGTGGCTGCGGTGGCTGAGCTGGCTGACAGGCCTCTCCCGGCGCGCCGTGCCGGTGCCACCGCTGCAGGCCGTGTGCTCAGATTCACTGCCACTGCCCGCCGACTTGCGGTCCTTCTCTCTGCCAAGAGCCCTCCTGCTGTTCTCGCTGTTGCTTCGGTTCGAGCCGCTGCTTTTGCTTCCTAAAAGCCCGCAAAGCGGGGCGAAAAAAGGACACGTGGAAAAGCTGGGTTAGCTGGCTTCCATTGCTGGCTCCAACACCAGCTCGTACCAAACCCACAGATCCACCTGTGACTTGGTGTGATGGCAATCGTGATGACGAGGCCTGAGCGTGCTATCGGTGGCTGATGGGATTTAGCAGTGACAGATGGCAGAATGAAGCGGACGAGGCTGTGCCATGCACAGGTACACAGAGACACCTACAGAGCTCGCACAGTGAAAGCAGCAGCTAGCTTCATAAGCAGGGCTGGAGGCCTTCAGCTCCTCCACCACCTCACTGCCTGCACGGGAGCAGCAGAAACCAAAGGATTAAGCAGGCATTTGGGTTTTAACCCACAAGCAAATGAGGTTCAACTGAATCCTGACTGTGCCTTTGGCCAACGTTTTTCAAAAGGAAACACTTGTGTATCAACTGGGCAGATTGCTGCTCAAGGCTGAACTTCCTGAGGTTAACTGAAGTCCTTCCGTTGCATTCACTAGGTAGGCTCTTCTAAAATTCATCACTGCTTTGTTGTTGGAGTTGTTTATTGAGCTGCTCTATTAGGAATCAGGAACATGAAGGATGTTCCCAGCAGAGGCCACTAAAGCAGCTCAGGAAAACAAAGGGCTGCTGTTGGTATGTAAGCTGAGCTGTTGCTGCATATAAGCTTTGCTAAGCTTTGGAACTGATTCAAAAGGGAAGCTGAAGGTTGTGCTCTATTACCATCAGAGATGGGATAGATGTCAGGAGACATTTCTAAATTAATTAGCCTTAAAAAAAAAAAAAAAAAAAAAAAAGCAAACAATAACAAGAAACCCACATGGTATTTCATTAGGTTCCTGCAGTTTAGAGAGCATTATGACTTAAGCCAAAGCCCCTGGTGCAAGATTGTCTTCCTGTTAGGAAGGATCCCAACCAGCAGAATAAGGACCAGCTTGTCATTCTGAATGACATCTCCTTTTGTCTCCTGATGCAAAGCGACATTTACCAGCTATGAACTAACAAGATACATAAACAGAAAACACAGAAACCCAATTTTAATCTGTATATAGAGAGTGACTGGCACAACCCTGTGGCCCAACACTCTCAGTACCTGCCCAAAACATCTGCCCAAATGTTTTACAGCCAATCAGCTCCTAAAGGGCAGTGGTAGATACATAAAATCCTGATGGACAACATCAGGCTCGTGAATTAAAAGCTGGGATTTCTTTATTTTTAAGAAGGGTGGTAGGGTTTTCCCATTTGAGCTGGCAGCAAGCTACCTGATGCCTTTCTCTCGTGGCTGCTGCAGCACAATCACATGGGGGGCAAACAGCTTGGTATGCTCATGTCACACTGTTGGACTATCGTGCGTTGAGACAAAAAAAAAGGAAAAACACAGCTAAACATTTGGGTCACAGGAGTCTAAATGATCATGCTGTGAAGTCATTATTATCATGGAGGCATTTGAAGCTTACCAATCCCCTAGAGTCAGCCATTCCTCTATGAATCCTTCAGTCTAATGCTTGCTCAGAACAAAACAAGGGAATAACAGTTATAAAGTAAGAAACAACACAGCAGTGTAGTTTCCAAATGAAGAACAAGGAAAGAGTTGAAACTCTTTTAATTTAAACACTCTTGGTGCCTTCCACAGGGCTCTCTTAGCCACTGACACAGGTGCATGGATGAAATACCATACCTTTCCTGTTCCAGCAGCAGAGATCTAACCAGCTGCCAAAAAAACCCCAAAACCCAATTTGGAAGTGATTTATAAAGCATCCCAACAGAAAGCAGTGGGACCCTGTCAGTACAGCCACAAAATGTAATTTTTACTTACTAAGATTTAAAAATGAATGGCAAAACGATCCTACAGCAGAAAAGGAAGAGGTCAGGTTTTTAATCCATGCAGCACTATCCTTTTTTCCCCTGTCTCGTATCACCAGACAGACTCTCCTCCCTGTGAGCAGTGTTTCAGCCCTGTAACCTCCTTGCTGCTCACCTCACACTTGTCTCACCCAAGCAAAAAGAGTGATTGCACTGATCACTTCAGTTACCTTGGTCCTAATCCCTATTCCACCAGCAACCCAACAGCCTCATTTCCAGCAATATCAAGTGACTGCATCCCCCATTGTTGGTAATGGCTCTGACCTCTGAAAAGGGTCAATACTTGAAATCTGTTTTAACAGGGGGGGACAACTGAGTTGTTAATGTTGGCCTGATTAACGTTATTCAAGCAGTGTGATGCTGTTTGGTAGGCAAAGTATAGATGTCCATGCCACAGACAGCTTGGCTCTAGTTTCCCATTGGCGTTCTGCAGTTGGAACAGAACTACAGCACAACCAGAAACAGTACATAGCACTGACTCAGATCAAACATTGCTGGCAGTTTCAATACAGAGCTGAAAGGCTAACCCACTCCATCACATACAAAAACGGTTTTGATTGCATGCAGTCACACCAAATCCATGCAAGTAAGCACAGGAAACCACAAGACAGGAGCACAAACAGTACTAAGAACTCAAGCAAATGGTCAGGGGTAATGGTAGCTGTAGGAATACATACCAGATTAACCAGCTTACCTTCACTCTGCTGGCTCCCTGCACTGCCACTACCATAGCTAAAGCCTGGATCTTGGTATGCTGGTGGAAAACACGGAGGGGGCAGAGGATACTGATAGGGGTATCCTTGGCCTAAAGGCCAGGGAGCAGCAGGATGTGGAAGTGGAGCAAGGGTATCTTGATCAGAGGCTCCGCTAGAACCATTGTTGAGGTTCAGTGCAGCCATATCTGGAAAAGAAAGAAAAGATGAAGACTGTACTCTTCCCTTGTATAGCTGACTCTTGAGTATCAGTAGTGGCTTACATAGCACTTGGTGTGCCTGTGAGGGACTCAGGCTTGACAGTTTACTCAAAATATCACACGTGGCAGGGCAGATAGGAATATTTACCACTGAGCACCAAAGTACCTTTGCAGCATTTCTCCAAGTCAAGGGGAAATAATTTTCATTTTACAGACTAGGAACAGCTTGACTGACAAGCAGGAAGTTTTTGGCATCTTCAGAAATTAATCCTGCTTCCTTGAGCCCCAGTGCAATGAGTCCATTCTTTTTCAAAGTGTCTAATTGCTGATCTAACAGGAAATGTTAACCACTTGTCATACAACCTCAGTGTAATGGCCTGTACTGAAATGCTCCCTTGTCAAACTCTGCAGGGCTCTCCTCTGTGCATCCTGTGAGCACAGCAGAGATAACACACGTGCAGCTCTGCCATTCACAGATGTGGAACTTACTGCCACAGAGGTCTCCAAAGACATAATAGCACTGCTCTGAGAAGGTGATTTTGTTCACAGTGTGCCTGAGGTAGCCGTGTTTTAACATGCTGCTGGCATACTTCCTAGCCTCCCGTCGGTCTTTGAAGCCTTCCACGTGTGTGTAAAGCCAGTCAACAACATCTGCTCCTAAAATGAGAACAGGAATGGGAGACTCAAGAACATCCAAATCAAGTTACAGCAGGTAGTGGTTAAGGACCAGTTGTGCTTACCTATTACTGCATTGGAGATGGTAATTTTTAACCACATCCTGTCCCGGATTTCAAGGCCTGAGTCTGGCAGCTGCATGACCTTGACAATAGTAGCCATGTCGCTCTTCACAGTTAAGGGAGATTCTTCTAATTCTAAAAGCAAAAGAAGGTTACATGCTTCTTTGAAATGAACACAGTCTGAAAAAGATTGGATGAAACATTTCAAGATACAGCTTCACCAACAGATGCCAAACCAGACAGAAAAATTCCCCATTTCACCCCATTAGTGGGTGAAATAAATTACAGCTTTCAGGGCAGTTCTTGGAGAGATTGTGCTCAGTGCAACCAGTTCAGCCACTGAGATGCCAAGTCCCCACATGTCTTCAGTTCACCCATCAGCTACAGATCAGCACTGCACTGTTTCAATCCACATCTCAATGAGATTTGTCCAAGATAAAACACGAGGAGTTCTACGGTCACAGTTTTCATTTTGACTTGCCACGAACAGCACCCACCCAACAGCTCAGTGCAAACCTCTGTAGAGGTTTTCCAGCTTATTCTTTGACTTTTGCCTTGTCCTAACTGCACAGAATTCAGTCAGCCTATCTATATACAACAGAACTATTTTCTTAGGACATGGCACCCCATTCTACTTCCTGCCCCCATCTTCTCAGTCCTAGAAACCTCACTTCCAGCACATTTGCTCTGTGCTTGCAGTTCAAACCCTCCTCCAAGAGGAATTCAGAACCCTCCTCCCCTCCCTTCTCCCAGCCCCCACATCACCCACCTTTCCAAAGCACATGGGAACCAAGTTTGCTCTTCAACTCAAAATGTTGATATAAGGTACAACGAGCATGAAACAATGAAAACTGAGAATGCTTCTTTCAGTGCACTGCTAATACTCATGAAAATATCCAATGCCATCCGTGCATGCAATTTCAATACTTATCAAGCGAATAAACACTAACATTTGCTTTTGCTTGAAGTTAGTTTGGTTAGTGGCAAAAAGCAACATCTTCATTTGGAAAAAAACAAAAACAAAAAAAATATAAAAATCAATATTTAATATCAATGAGGGGAGCAACAAATCATTTCTTCTTGGAGACCTGCAACCTGCCTGCAAAGAACAACACTACCCAAACCATCAGCAGTATTTTCTGCTATGCAGACATGAACATTTCTCAGGTTCATATTAAAATGCACCACACTGATCTGAACTCTGTTAGCTGTGGGCATGACCACCTCCACAGTGATGGGAAAACCTGAAGCACAGCACAAAGTGTAACCCCATCCTGGGGACCCACAAAACTCTGTCTTTGTTTTGTGTCTCTAAGTGGCTTTTTTTCCCTTTGGTAGATGCTGTTAAAACAAAAAAACGTGTATGCCCTGGGGAAATGAAGTCCTATCACATATAATAACCAGCCCTGGTTGTATTCTACTTGAGTGAGGAAGTACATTTGCCCAAACAAAAAGGTTGCCTTCAGCCAGCTTTGGCTTGGATACTCTTATTTTTGAAGGAATCTGCCTGAAAAAGTAAGACAGCTGATGGAACAATCCCTACTGTGTTGTGGTAATTTGCAAGGCCCCAGAACCTCAGATACTAACCTAACACTGATGTGGCAGTGGCTGTGAAACTACTTCAAGATACAGAAACTCAATTTTGATCCAGAGGTCAGAGAACAAAGGAAAGCTAATCAGAAGAAAAGCTGAATTGCTCAATTCACTTTGAATTATTCAATCCTGGTCTTGCTGTATAAAAACAGAGTAAAACATACATCCACAATGCTCAAAACTAGGAAGCATGAAACAGAACTTGTCTTACTCCATTAATTCACTGCTTCCCCTTTTACAGCCAGATTCTGTAGAACAGGTACTACATGCACTTCAAATACTGGCAATTCTGTCCTCAGAGACTGAAATAAAGCATCTTGGGCTGGGAAATGAAAAGTGAGAAAGCCCCATTGTGTGTGTAAGTCTGTTTGAGATATAAATGCATTATTCCTCTCATCTTCCCTTCCTCCCCAGCTTTGTCTTTCCTGGCAAGGAGGCCCACAGGACAGGTGCTCTCTGCCCTCAGGACCCTGCAGTGCTGCCTGCTGTGCTCAGTGAGGTTCACAGGACTGACCTGAGGGAAGCAGTGCTAAACAGAAGGTCACAGGAAAGCCCTTCTTGCATCCAGGATAGCAGAGAAATGAGAAGCTGTCTCCTGAAACATGGTTCTGCTCCCAAATAACCTTTATTTTAAAAAATATGATTGAAAGGATGTCTGCATTCCACACTTCCCAATCACATCACTATATGTCAAGGCACATGATACATGAATATTTCAAGAGGAAAGAAAGAAGAGTAACAGACTCTTGTTGGACAGCAATCAGATACACTGGGTCCAGCAATCTTTAGTACCTGGAAGGCTGAAAACACATCTCAAGATTAAGCATCATGTAAATGATCCACTTGCTTTCTACTGCAGATGTCCCTTCAGTGCTGCCCACTGCCTAAAGAGGCACTGAGCTACACCTACAAAAAAAATAACCCCCTTTTCCATACAAGGTGAGGTGTAACTCTGGCAACAATCCACTTGTAAAATCAGAGAAAGGGAATGAGAAAGAGAGGCAGACACCTATGCAGTCTGATAGGACTGAGCTGGGCCTTCTAAAAGCAACTTCTGTGTTCAGCCTTTGCCCAGGAAAGACTGTCGCTAATCACTGATATCACGTTGATCTTTTAAGTCCTCAAAGGGTTGGTTTGTATGTTTGGGCTTTTTTCCTTTTAAATATGACAACTTGTTGGTTACACGGATGTGATGATATTGGAGACTGCCCCAGACAGACAAACCAGGAAAGAAGGCTGAACATGAACTTCACATGGGACATCTGCTCTGTTTTTTTCCCAGTTCAATAAATTCTAAGAGGATAAAAAAGTATAAAAGAAGGCTATGTAACTATCAGTGAACATTTTCTAAATGATTCTTTGGTACCCGGTGACATTTATTTGAAGGAAATGATTAAAGTTTCTAAAGAAAACCAGCAGAATTCAAGGAGGAAGCCCTCAGTTCACCTGCAGGGATAAAGCTGGGAGCCTGCCTTGTGACTTTAGAAGGGAAGCCACTTCTTCCTGCATGTGAACCCTGGCAAAACAGGGCTGCCTTAACTTCTGACCTTTAGAAAAAGGTTTTATGCTCCCTTTAGGAATTACAAACTTAAGAAAACATTCAAGAGCTCTGTGATGGCTGTCGTTTTCATGGTGCTTGTGGCTGGGGTCGGCTTTGAACACAGCTCTGCACTGCTGGCCCCGAGCAGAAGATGCCTGCCCTGTGCTGGCCGCAGTGTGACTTACTTTCCGAATCGGGAATTGAGCTTGTTAGTGAGGAGCTGGTAGATGTGGTGATGCTCATGGAGGGGCTCATACCGTAACGGGGGTACGCTCCCGTCATGGCTGTGGTATGAGAGATCCACGCTGCAGGGTCAATTGGCCTCACTGGTTCAGCTGCAAAGCAACCAGAAAAGGAAAAAAATATATATGAGTCGAATGGAATCCAATTTACAGTAAACAGTAGGATCTAATTAAGTCCTTTCATTTTGTTCTCACAACTGAGACAGCCCCAGCAGAAGGGAACAGAAAGCACCTTGCCAGCAGTATTCGGTTTAATCTAGGAATTGCTACATCTGTCTCACAGGACATAACCATGCTAGCCCTGTTCCTGCAGCTATGGTATTTTTCCATCTGGGAAACGTTCTCATTTGTGGGAAAGAAGTTATCAAGCTTAGAAGGACTGGTAACACGTTGGCTTCACTATCTTAAGCACAGCTCTCACCAGTAGGAGGCAGCTGTGCTTGTCACAGAGACCTTTTATTTTTGAACACAGACCTTTTATAGCCACTGAACTATTTATTAAATCAAAACTGTTAAACTACATCATTTTCAATAGTGTTTGTGTATATTTTACTATGTGGCTTGCCTCAAATTTTAAAAACAACCCATTTAAATTCTAAGTGCATATGTGGTAAAATGAGGCTTTTTAATACTTAAGCCTATTTTTCCCCCCAAACCTTCTATCAATTAAAAGGTTAAGCTCAGCAGGATGTAGCCAGCAAAAGGCTAAGAGCTTAACCCAAAGTCATGAGAATGAAAAGAAAAACTCCCATGAATTCAGTGGGCACTGCAGTCTCAAAAAGAGCATCTTAAACCCCTAAAACAACACATCCAAACTTAAAATTAGAAGCGTGGAACTTGCAGGGAAAGGAAATCAGAAGATAGCTGAAAATGTTCTGGACCTCAATGGCTCCAAAGGAACTCAGCAAGGAGCACCAATTTGTACTCACCCCTGGGGATGGTGAAATAACTCCTGGGAGTGGGGTCCCAGCATTTGGCTACCGTTAGGCTAATAGGTCTAGGAAGAAAGAAAACAGGTAAGGGAGACTCTCAGCTTCCCCCATAGAAGTCATAACTACCACAGTCAACTCTTTGAAACAAACTCATCAAGTATGTTCTGAGGTTTTTGAGATGCCTGTCAAACCATTTTCAGTACAGACAGTATCAGATGAGTTTCTGTTTCCCATATATCGCAGCGCTATTGGTGAAAATCTGTTGAATGATCAGATCCCGAGACATTCAAACTCACTTTCCATAAACAAACAGTGCTACTGAAACCAGGCAACTCCCAGTTGGTGTTGGCTTTGGCTGGTACACTGAAACCAGTCTCATCACTCACACTGAGAAGCTCAGAGTTGAAATCAGCAGTCACACCGGTTGCTTATTCAGATCAAAATGTTGATTTCTGTGAGGTTTGCTCAACACCAGTAAGGAGGGCAGAGGATAAGCAGCAGATTTGGTAAGATGCTTACCCTGGCTTGGAGACTATTTCCCGTAAAACCCGTACTGCATCATCATTGCTCATGTTCTCAAAATTGACATCATTCACCTGAAATGATACAAAAAGCTGCCATCAGGCTTAGCAATAGGAACAGTAAAGACATTTTAGTTATTCAGAGAGAAATGCTGTTTCTCAGAGCACACTGACTGTCCATCCAGCAGAGTTCACAATGATTTAAGCAATAACAGTTTCTGTGCCATATTTCTCTGAGCATGGATGAATTCTGCTGATCCATGGATCTGGTGAGATGACTGAGCTGAAACCATCAATGTGAAAGAGAGCAGTGCATATTTCTGCACACGGACCAACCTGCAGAAGCATGTCTCCTGGTTCAATTCGTCCATCTGCTGCCACAGCCCCTCCTTTCATAATAGAGCCAATGTATATGCCACCATCACCCCGGTCATTGCTTTGTCCTACAATGCTGATTCCCAGGAAGTTATATTTTTCTATACAGGTACAAAGTGGAGGGTGGGGAGGGGGAAAAAAAAAAAAAAAAAAAAAGCAAACAAAGTGATTGAAATGATAGTGAAGAGCTAAGAGCTGGTCACTTCAGCCCTGAAAGTTCAGTTCATTGCTTTCTCACAACATGTCAGCTGGGCTGCATTTGATTCACAACTACCCCAATATCTCAGTTTACCCTGCTGGGGTAAGTTTGCTGGCATGTTCAGGGACAGACAGCAGGGAAAAGTTGCTAAATGCATCATTTCTTCATACAAGACACTGAGAAGTTATGTTCAAAAATCATCAGGGGAAATAACACAGAAAAGACATGTCTACACGTAGAAATTAGGCAGCTGATCAGCACTAGGCAATGCTTTTCCACACTTAAGAGGAAAAACGTGATGCTGCTGAAAGGCACTGAAGTGACAGTTCTGTCTATTTCCATCTGGCTAAACAATGAAACACGTGAACTCCAGAAATGCAAACTTTCAGTGTTAGGAACAAGAACAGAAGGACAACCTCTGGCTCCTTACCATTCCTAGAAATATGAGCACAAGTCCATCCTCTGGGTCCAGAGCTCCAGCTCCTTCCCCAGACTTTTCAGGAAGAACACTGAGCTGCTGCAGCAAATGGCTTCTATTATCCAGTGCTGGACTAGGAACCCAGGCACTGTCAGAGCTGCCATCCCAGCTGCCATTCCCTTCAGTCCAAAAGGAGTTCTTTCAAATCAAGGAACTTCCTATTGACTCCCAAGGCCACTATGCCATAACAAAACGCATCATAATAAACATTGCTCATCCTCTTACCCATGTTGAGTGTGACAGTGATGATATTTAGGGACATGGTGGAATCTGTGATGCTGCTGAACGAGGATGACTGCAAAACATAACAGAAAATTCTCAAGGTTTTAAGTGGCTCCAAATAAGACAAATAACTAATAAGCACTAATTCATCAGGAACTCATTAATAGGTTTCTGTCTCAAAGGTATCCAGAAACCTCTTATGGCCTCCAAATCCCTTTCTGATTTGCATGCTACACCTCAAAATCACAGTTCATCCTCTTGGAAAATGATGATGCCAGCCTTACCCTGTCAATCTGCCGCATCCTTTGTTTCCTCCTCCTGCGCTTATGCTTCCGTATGAGCCGTGATGAAGTGCTTTGCTCAGTGGAACTGCTCAACCTGAGGGAAATCCAGAGCAAATGTCAACTCCATAAAGCTGAGCCATTCGCAGTTTCTCTGCACCCTGCCAAAAACAAGGCTGAGTCCCACAAACACCAAAGAGTCGCCATTCAGACACCAGCAGCTGACAAAGCACTGCTCTCAACTGCTGCTCAATCCCAGCACTGTATCTTCATCTACCCCTGTGAGCACAGAGAAGTTACCAGCTCCTCTCCAGCATGGATTAGAGAGTACATTTTACCAGCTTGCTTCATTCTTGGAGCAACACTGAAATCATTATGCCTTGCAACAGGCGTGTATCAGCCTGCTTTAAGCACCCCAAGGTTGGAGGCATCTGCTTTCTGCTCCTTGAGCAGTGAGCTTGACTCCATGCCCAAAGAAAAATGCATGCTGTAAGAACAGCTGCACATTAAACATTGACTTCAGTCTTCATATTATTTTTTGTGGACCTTGCCATGGTGCTCTCACTTTCTTCTGCTGCTTAGCATTCTGTAAACAGAGACTGGAATTCACTGAAATGAAGTAGCTCTTGATAATAGCTACTACCAACTGGTGGCAGAGGAATGGTGAACATCATTTACTTCTGCATGTTCTGTTCTTTTTCTTAAGGTTTTTCAAACTTGTACACCCCTAAATGCATCACATCCTACACATCTCTCCCTTAGGCTCTCCTACATTAGGAAAATTAATTATTCTCATTTTACAGAGAGTGGACTGAGGCACAGTGAAAGATAAGTGGATTTGCCCAAATTCATTTCAGAAGCCTGGAACAAAATCTGGATTTCAGAGATACCACTGCAACACCACAGGGATCTCTCTCCTCTATTTGTGATGTTAAGAATGGCAAAAGAGACAAAGTAATGCTCCACTATTAACTAAGATCAAAACCAATCCAATATAACACAAGTAACTGAACTGGCACTGGCACAAAGAAAACCGTGCCAGTTTTTTTTCCCCCTCATTTCCACGTCCCTATCTTCAAAGTTCTAGCTGCACACAGGCATGCCAGTATACCTCATGCAAAATCTGATACTGGCAATCCCAAAACAGAGCTTGCTGCCATGAGGTTACAACCCACCACACTGGGAAACCCAGGTTTGTTTGAGTCAAGGATGCCCAGCTGAGCATTACCAATGATGGGGCTGCTCAGAGGGCGTGAAGCTCTTCATGTTCTCTTTAAGCTCACATAACTATTTCAGGTATGTTAACACTCCTTTTTCCCCTCCCAACAAGGCATATTAATTTAAAGAGCCAAGAGGTGGTGTTTTCTAAGGAGATCAAAGATCTGATAGCTCTCCATCTGTGGAAGCAGCTCACAGCACCTGGTTTTCTGAGCTTGTTCCCTTTTCCACAGGGAAAATAAAGAGGTCTTTCAAACGCTGGGCTCCCAAAAACTGAACCTGTTCAATGTTTACTGCTGTTTTAGCAAGTACTGGTAACGACTGACACAAAACCCTCTTGCATTTTACTATCAGTGTTCTCCTCTTTTCTGTCCCCTCTCTGATTTCATCTTACTCTTCTCCCCCACACTGTCTCATTTGTAGGATTCAGCTCAAACCTTCCAGCACGCAGCAGTAAGGGAGAACCTGCAGAAAGGCAAAGCGTGCTGCTCCCATCACAGTGAACCTACCTGCTCTCCCCAAAAGGCAGCAAAAAGAACAGAGGCAAGAGACTGGGGGAGCTCTACTGCCTGAACACGAGCCCAGCAACAAGATGCCTTCGCATGCTGTAAGAGAGCTGTGAGCTGCCCTCCACCAATTACAGCATAAATTCAGTGTTCCAATCTGCAAGCAAACGCTCTGCCTTCAGCCTCTGTTCCCAGTCAGAGTCACAGTGAATTATATCAGTTACATTGAATCAAGAACAGTAATTGCAAGTTGCTGACAATAATCCTCATGCTACATACTTCACATTTGCTAGATATTTATTTGCTTAAGAGAAGATAGAACAGAAATGTCTACCACAAGCTCCCTACATCAATGTGTATCCAAAATACCACCTACTGCTTGCAAACAAGACTAACATTCAATTGTATCACATACTGAAGATGAAGGAAATAAACACCCTCAAGCTTGGAGGAAATAAACACCTCTCCACTTGGAAGTCAGCTGCAAGGGATGCTGCTGCCTTACTCGTTGACCTCCCCTAAATAAAGCCCCCCCATAAGGCAAGCTCTGACCCTACAGCTGTAATTAACCAACTTACCCCCTTCAACCTTGTCTTCCCCAGACCTCCGTCCCCAGCAGATCTGTAGCATGCTCCATTTGCTATTTGGCTGGTTTTGCCTCTAAAGGAAACTTCTCCCTGCCAGCACGATCTCTCATCTGCTTGAGAGCATCATCGCTGTAACACAACAGCATACCTCGGAGCATTCCATTTAGTTGTTCTTCCTGACTAGCTGGCCTGGCAGCTATTTTGTGTGCCAACAGCTTCTGCCCCAGCCTAGAAAGGAAAAGGCCTCGGCTGCAGCTTCGAAGAGTCACTTTCTTTGCAGGTCAGACACGGGAAGCTTTATGTTATTAATATATACAGAGAGACTGAGCTGGGTTTAGAGTGATGTGCTTCAGAGGCCACCCTCACTGTGCTAATCCTGCCCTACTGCATTTCTTCCTGCCCCGGAAATGATTAAGTTATGTCCAACAAACACAATCAGCTACAGGGTTGTTGATGTTTGTGGGTTTTTGTTGTCGGTTTCCTCTCATTGTTGGTTTTGGTTTTTGATTTTGAAATGGGGGAAGGAAGGGTTGGAAGCCCTACAGGCTTTGGGAAGGCTCTGATCTTCCAGCCCTAATGCATATGAATACCTACATGAAGCACAAAAGCATCCAGGTAACTAATTTTCTGTGTCTTCAAGTGTTGGCAACTTCACTGTAACTGCAAAAGAAACTCTCAAACCTAATTCAGAACCCAGCCTGAAACATTCATTTAGTCACCCTTTTAGCCCTTTGGGAACACCCAGCCTTGAAACAGAATTTGAAGCTATTGCTTTTCAACAGGTATATAAGCTGTGACTAACTCTCAGACCAAACAGATCAACAGAGTTCAATAAACTAATGTCTGTAAACACAGCCAATGTGTAAAGATCTCCAATAGCAGTGGATTTCTGCTGTTCCTCTTCTACCTAAAATTTAAGAACATCATGCTGCACCTTTCCTTCTTCATAGACATCAGCAGTTACAACCACAGGATCTGTAATTTGTTCTCTGCCAGCTCTCACAGATCTCTAATGGGTTTTCATGGCCCATTTGGCTGAATGTTTTAAACAGCTCTAGGGATGGTGTTTAGAGAACGCTGGCACTCAAGACAGGAAAATGAATCACACAGGCTTTGATTGATTTTGCCGATTTAATAATGGATATTTTAAATCCGAGAAATGTATTGGCTTGCAAACATTTTAAGAACACAAGTATCCTCTGGGGATTAAGAAGGATGTCTTGAAATGATTTTTGGAAACAGCAAGGAATAATTCGTCACATTCCTTCTGTCTACGTAAAAAGAAAAAAAAAATAATAATTAAGAAATCATAAATATGTGGCACCACAGCCTGCCTGTGCAATAATACTCACCCTGATGAATTCCCCTACTGCCCATAGGCCTCAGACCATGCAATTACTTAGGAATTCTTTTACTGTTTTCTTTAGTTAGGTGCGTGCTGGATAGGAATGGGCCATGGCTGGATTTTGTTACAATAACCACACCACTGCTTTACAGCTAAGGAGACAGTCACACACTGCCTGGATTTTAATATGTAACCATTCCTGCCATTAAAAGGAAAGAACAGGAACAGAACTTTCTCTCAACTAGAGCTGTGCCTGATGGCACTTTGGTAGGGATCCCAGTAAGTTAGCTCTTTTCTCAGAGCAGTGATTTTATACGACACGTTATTGATGGATTACCTGTCCTCAAATCATATCTAGCAGGAAAAAGAGGAAAAAGTACATAAACCTTCTCATCAGCATGTTTCAGCACAGCCCAAATACATGGACCAGCAGCTGGGAAACAGATGGAAATGGGATTTAACAGCTCAGTCACTACAGCAATGCCCTACCTGCTGGTGTTGTCATCATCGTCTGAGTCGATGAAGCTGCTGGATTCCAGCTCACTACTCATCATGGTAGAAGAGCTGTCGTAACCAGGAGGGTGCTCACGATGTCTGTCCAGTTTGGGGTGGCCATTGATTCGAGGGACTATTAAAAAGAAAAAGAAATGGTGTATTACTGGGCAAAGAGGAAAAGGAAGGAAGAAATGGTGTACAATGAACAGCACTGTTTCCACACTGTGACTTGCAGCCAATTTTGCAGGAGGATCCACGTGCAGAAACCAAGCTCTTTACACAACCTGGTTTCACCCAGCAGCTGGAAAACCCAGTGCCCTGGCCTGCCCACTTATCTTTTCCCTAACATTTCTACTTGCCCACGTATCAGTTCACAGGCAAGCTGTAAAGGAGATAAAGCCAGAAGCAGGAGGCATAAATGAGTACTCTAATGGCATTAGGAAAATGAATGCTGCCTCTCCTGCTGCAGCTGGCTCCTACCAAAACACCTCAGAACCATGGCAGTGACCATGTTCCCACCCACACTGTGCCCACCAAGGGAAATCCCCAGTGTGCACTGGGACTATTGCTCCATCCAAGTCCCACAAACACAACCAAAGGTACGAGAGCTTCCCACAAGTTGTTATTTTTCATGTGCTGTACAAAATGAAAAAAGTCAGTTCAGGGCTCCTGCTGAGACACTGGAAAATTCCAGTCCTGAAGACTCAAGGATTATGAAAAACATATATATACATATTTGCATGCTCTTCCTCCATGCTATGATCCCCAAGAAGCCTGTATCCAAGAGGCAGCCCATCTGCTGAGCAACATATTTTGAAGGACTGGGGAAACAGAACAAAAATTATTTGCATTGACTTTGCTGTTTTTATCACACTGCTATCTCTGTAACACTGCAATCACACTTGATAGATGAGCCACATGAAATCTTGTTTCATGTGTCTCAACCTCTCTCAAACCACATGCCCTGACCACCACGTTCTCCAACAGAGCAGCACAGCAGCACTGCTTGTTGAATTATTAATATTATTAATAAATGGATAACCAGGGTAAATTAAAGCTTGCTTTCACTGTCATGAACAGCAGTGAGCTTTAGCACTGCAACAGTCTCAGCATCATCATGTGGTGATCCCATTCAGCACCTGGGATAAGAAATTTAGAACAGAGTTACAGTATTATCCCAAGATTTTGACCTGAGACTCTCAGAAAGCACAGGCTGACATGGCCTGGGGTCCTTCGCCCAACTACAGACCCTCCCACATCATTTTCACACTTGAGGAAGAAGGAAGCAGTGCTTCTTAACAGCTCTCAGTGAAGTTTCAGCACCTCACAGCAAACAGTACCTGGAAAGCATACCTCAATTCCTGGGAAAAATCACTGCCTCATGTTGAAGCCATCTTCTTTCCCCTGTTTTTCCTGCAGCCCAGGAGCAGCTCCAAAGGCCCCAATTTCCCCTGCCATCCCCCCTCGGGCAGCAGCAGCCCCGCTTTGCCCTGCAGCACCCAATCTTCTCCACCCCATCACAGCCTGGGGCAGGCATTGAGGCGACTCCTCCCTTTCCTAAGGTTTTTTCCAATTAAGTCAGAACTGTTTGGGGTATGGCAGGGAACCATGATCACACTGAATACAAGCCACGATGGTAATGCCATTCACAAAGCACAGACAGGTATTCCACCCTCAGTGTAACCCAGACTCTGCTCTGGTTCAATGCCTGTCCCACTAATAACCAGGGACTTCCTGCCCCATTGACCCTCTGCTCCTGTTTCTTCATTAGAGGACGACAGACCCATTGAGACTGTCTGACAAAGGCTTTTCGATGTGTCACAGAGATTAGAATAAAGTATAGCCTCAGAGGTTAAAGTATGTCCTCCTTGGCTTTTATCAACAGCAGAGCTGGTCCTGCCTGAGGGACAAAGGCACATCAAAGTGCAAAATCAAACAGGCCTTGAAAGCAGAAAGCAGCATCTGCTCGAAGAGGTTGTAAAGAGTACTCTGTAACCCTGCAAAGAAAAAAGGTGAGAGTGGTTTGGGAAGAAGGCATAGCTGAGCTTCCATCCTCAGCAAGTCCTGACCAATTATTGACACGAAATTGTTACCTCCTTATTAACAAAGACCTGCAACCCCACCTGTGCAGCTCACAGTTGCATGCAGAGGTTACAGTCGGTGCTGCACTGTCCCACTGCAATCATTTTGTAGTTGCAGTCCTTTACCACGCTATGGTAAAGCACATATACACTTGTAGGGATGACTGGACATCTGGAACTGCTCTTTGCAAACGTTTGGGGATCACAGTTATGTTCACCAAACCACCAACTCCGTGCTGAAGCTCCAGCATCCACACATGGCACCTGCAGATGTGCCAAGAAAGCAAGCAGTAGCTATAAAAAAATCCTTCAATGCCAAAGAAAACTTGTCTCTTAATTACCTTCCTAATTAGAACTTGCACAGTCCCATTTCCCAAAAGGGACATGGAGTTTTGTTCCAGTCACGGAGGGGTCCCAAGGACATGTGCCAAGCAGACCTCCCACGTTCCTAATTAAGATCCTCAATCTACTTTTACTTAATAGGACTTTGTCAACTTTCCAAAGCAATGTGAACTTTTGTTGCTTTAAGAGAGAAAGTGGAGGTCTGACATCTTGACAGCTCAGCCCTTTTGCACTAATTTTATTTGAAGCTAATGCCAACGATTGTTTTCCTACTAATTGATGTGAAAGGTGTTCAGGAAGAGACATAGTCCCAACTTGGACAAAAGCCCCTTTGGATAAAAAGCCTCTCCAAAAAAAAATAATAATAATAATCACTTCTCTGCACGTGCAGCCTGTACAGTTTTACCACCATTATGTCTTAAAATATATACATCTATAAATGCACACATACACACAAAGGTAACCTGGGGAGCTGAGCAGTGAGCAGCTGGGGAGAACTCAGTGTAATCCAGTGGCAAACTCAAAAGGAAGCTCTTGCCATGCACTGAAAACTGGTTCCTAAACATCAGGCTGACAGGATGAATTATTCTGCACAGCTCACAACAGAATTCTGCTCCCCTGCTTGCTTTGCTTTCAGGTGCTTTTTATTTTACTACATCTGCAGCAGATCTTCATTGTGCTTCCCCTTTCTCTTCCCTGCCCCGTGGGTTCTCCAAGTCTGAACAGGAATCTCATCCTCTTGAACTCAATTGCTCTGTGGTCAGGGATCAGTGCAGCAAATTCCCCTGACCTGCACAGGTTCTAATTCAAAGTGCCCACACCTAAGCAGATCCCAAATGGCTCAAGCAGCACCTTTTCTCACCTTCTTCACCTTGTTTGAAATGAAGTCTATAATAAACTATTGAATTCTTCTTGTGAAACAGGTACTTCTTTGTGCAATAGCCAGGGATAGCCTCGTGGTTAGGGTGGGTAACTCTTTGTCAGTCACTTCACACCAATGATGAGCTCCACCAGTTGCAAACACTACGTGGTACGTGTTATGTATGCCTCAGTGAGCTGACAGTACTGCACACACATCTTGGCTACTTGCAATACCTGTGGAACAACCTGTGGGCAACGCAGGGCTTCAGTGAGGAACACACATCCTGCCTCTCTATGAATTACTAGAGCTGTAATTTTGGTATTAAACAAGCCTCTGCAGGACAAGATGAAACAGACTAGCAGCGTTTCCTTCTTTCTGTAAGGAGAAGAGGATTTATTTACCACTCCTTTCCAATGCCCCCAAAACTGACTGTGAACCAAGAGTCACGACCCTGCTGCCCCCTCCCCATCATCCCATCCCCTTTCTTCTATGACTCTTCCCCCATTTAACATCCATTTAACTAATATCCCTCAGCTTGCTCTCCTGAAACTGAAGCCAGTCTCAGCTGAAATAATACAGACCCATTTATTGAAGCCAAAGGCAGCCTGCAACACATGCTCTGGCCACATTAAGCAAGCCAGGAAGGGAGGGACACATACAAAGGATAACACGCACTTAAGACAGGCAGGCAAATGTGAAGATGGTATTTTTAGCTCTACGGTGCACAACCCTCAGGGCTTAATGTTGCCATACAGTAAATGAGCAAAGAAGAGACACGGCAGGAATGAAGGGCACTCAGCAATGTCAAGTGTAACTCAGCACCTTAAAGCATTAAGCCTCTAACGAAAAGAAAACCCATACGGAGAGCTTGTAATACACAAGAAACTATCTGGCAGCCTAAGTAAACACAGCCAATACCCCTCGGGTAAACTGGCACAATCTGATTCTACAAGGGAATTGCATTTCGTGGAAGCTTTGACATATTTTTCCTGTTAAGATTTCAGGCTTGAACTGAGCATGACATGTAGGAATCGTAATGCGCTGGAGGTCAAGACAACATCTCTGCACAGGGACACTTTGCTGAGCAGCTTTCTTTACAACCTAATGAGTTATAGGAGTAGCCCTAAGAGATCAGAGTGTAAAAGAACATAACCAGAAATCATACAAAGGACCTGGCATTTTCAGCCAGTAGGGGGACAAAAAAGGAGGCAGACAACTTAGGGAGAATCCCAGCACTTGCCTTCTCTTCTTGAATGCAACATGAAGCAGAGCAAAAGCAGGGGTAGAGGGAATTAAAAATGAGACCAAGAAGTCTGCCTGCCTATGCTTCCCTTTCATCAGGCCCACAAAGCTTCTAAGAAGAGGAGGAGGAAGCAACAAAGGAGGCAGGCAATAATCTAACGTGAAAAACAAATCACCTTTCAACATTCTTCCAGTACCAAGATTTTGCCACAACACTTATTAGAAGATTCTCCCTGTTTCTGTGATTTCCCACAGGGATCTGCAAGCAACACCATGCAAAGACAGCTCTCTGCTCCACCCACTGAGTAATTTTCATTTACTCTGAGTCACTTACAAATTGGAAAAGTAAAATGAACAGAAGACACCTGCTTTTAACACACAGTATATGCGGCTTCTGCTTTTCTAATACTTCACTGGGTGGAGCTGTGAATAAAGCCTGTGATGGCACCTCTTGGGTCCAAGTATTCTATATTTTGGACCATTTTAGACTCAATGGGTGGCATCTATTAATTCTTAATTAGGCCTGGAAATTCTCGTCTGGCAACAAATGAAAAAACAAGCTCACTTTGATGTATAGACTAGAGGCAAGAGATTATGTTCTGCAGTTTATGTGTATGCTGCAGTTATACCAGCATGCAAGACTACTGCTGGTCCAAACTGGGAGAAATCAGCAGAAATCATTTCAGAAGATCCTGGCTTAGACCTTGCAATGCTAAAATACCAAGGCTTTCCAACTGTCCACACTGCAAACTCCCAACACTTCATACAGATAATGTGTTCTTTCTTTAAGTGAGCAAAGCTGAACAAGGCAGTCTAGCCATGATGGTGTGGAGCTCAGTGCTGGCTACATCATTATCCTCTCCCAGGCTGTCTTCTAATACTACAGAAATTCTGTATATCATCCAACAGTATCTCCCTGCCACTTTGCTGTAGGTTACCCAGAACTCTTCAAAAACACTGAGCTTCAAAGCATCTCAAAGCAATCACCAAATTCCTCTATTAAAGTAATAACAGTCCCTCAAAGCACGCAGGAATGCAGACACGCTCTTCTCCAGTGCTCATGCAAAACTAGTTTGTTGCTGTGAAATAACAACAGAAGAATCTTTTGTTTTCTAAATGAAAAAGGGGAAATATGACCCACTCACCATCCTCGTGCCCTTCTCTATTCCTCCGCCGATGTCTGTCTCGACGGTGGCTGATAACTGACTCTGTTCCTGTTTCGTTGTCCAGTCCATCCCGACTGCTGGCAGCATTTGGGCTGTTAGAAAACACATAAGGAAGAAACAGTGGAGTCAGTTTTTCTTTTTTCTTCTTCTCCTTTTTTTTTTTTTTAATTAATAAAAACAGTTGGATTTGTGAGCTATTTGGTTTAGAACCCAGAAAACTACTACACAGATTAGCTAGAGACTTGGTAGCTGCAGAGCTAGCTCCTCCAGACTGCTCTGCTCACCTTAAAGCTACCTGAAGAGTGAAAAGACAATTCAACAGCCATGCCCTGAGACACAGGAAAGGGATCATTTTAGATCATGATCCAAGATACATACAGATGCACGCATGAGCTCCTCCTCTAAAACCAGCACAGCACATGCTCTACCAAGGGCTTTTACTACTCAGACCAAATTGCCTTTCCTACAGTTTCTCCAAATATATATAAACCAAACTGTGTTTTGGTACGTGCTTCTTCAAGTGCTTGTTCCTCTCCAGACAGGCTTGTTTCCCTGACAACAACCTGAGCTGCACATTCAGCATGCTGTCAGCCAAAGGGGCAGAAGCTGTATCTCACTGGCAGCCACTTGTAAAGCAAAGTGCTGACCTTAAAGGCTGAAGTCCTGCAAGTCACAGCAAAGCTTGAAATAATTAAGTGCATGTCTGCAAAACACTCAGACAGACCCCAGGTCCTTGCCTCATCTTCTCAACCATCCAAAAGCTACACAGCTATGCCAGTGCAGCACAGCACTTCATCTAATGAGTCCCTGTGAAGGGCCATTATGAGCCAGCAAGCTTTGGGCAAAAAGCAGAAAGATCCTGATGACCACCTCAGTGGCCACATTTCTTCCATTATGCTCTTGTGAAGGCTCTGCTGAGAGCCAGTTTCTTGTTCCTACAACTAATTAGTCAGAACAAAAGGTTTCAAAGAGGCAGCAGAGAATTCCGCCCTGTGGCTTAGGGCCACTTTCTGGGACCAATCTAAACAAACAACTCCAGCTCCTTATTCTTGAACTTCAAGCACTGAGAAAGGGCCATTTCTCAATTCACATAAACCACACTGCTTTTTTTTCTTCTAATTCCAGCAGACATGTCTGCAAACCAAGCAGAGCAGTAGCATATTCAGGGTGCTGCACTACAGCAAGAGCACCTCTTTGCAACCATCTTGGTTGCAAAGCTTGGTTCCAAGCTCACTGCTGACAAAAGAGGCCATTAAAGAAGAGTTGGTTGGAGCAAAGGGGATGATGGAGATGCTCTTTTCTCTACAACTGATGGTGAACCTGGGCATCTTCTCAGCTGCACAGTCTGATGGATGGGCACTCATTGCTGTGGGACCTTGAGCAAACATGCAAACACATCTGTATGGTTCCATTTAAGAGGGCTGCTGAAAGCTTTCTACAACTGCACACCCACACACTTTCTCAGCACGAATGAAATGTACTGACATGCCCACCACACCAATTAGGAAACAGGCTCTTATTCAAGAAAATATCTGAATGCACTGTCCAAGCCCTAACAAAGCTACCAACATGTAAGCACGTATTTAAGTGCTGACACAACTATGTTTGCATTGCTCAGCCCAATACAACTGAAAAGAGGGTAACACTTTTCTAAGGCAGAATCTTCTGCCTTTGTCACACACAAAGAAGGGCACAGAGCTCTGCCAGCCCTGCGAGGCACCCAGACATCTCAGCAGCACCATCTCGTGACTACTGCTATTACTACTCAGTCCTAAGCCTTTTCCAAGCTAAACTACCTTACAAAAGGTGTTTGACAGCAGAATTAAATGCACGGGAGGAACCACAGCTGGCCTCTTTCCTCTCCCATTGCTGAGCAAATCCAAATTCAATTTCCAGCACACGTACCCAAGGGCTGTGAGCAAATGTCAGCAAGGAAGAGCAGAGGTCACTCATGCACTGACCCAGGAACAGCCTCACCCATTCAGGTGAACGTGGATTTGGCAACCAGTGAGCTGAAGCTGTAGAGCATGAAATGCAGGCTGAGCTTCAGCACCTTCAGCAGGGAGGGAAAAAGGAAATTTTCTTTGGATTGCAATCAGTGACGGAGCAAAATATCAATATTGTCAGACAGCTTAGTCGAGATTATCACTTCACTGCTGATAATTATCTCGTTCTCTTGGAAGGTATTGCTTGCCTGTCTGCTCCATCCATTTCTTGTATTCTCTGTAGACCTGGAAACATTTTTGTTTGCACAATTACACAACGCCCGGCCTGGCTGGGGCTTCTTGGATAAATAATGCCTCTATCAGCAGTGCAGAAGGAAGACAGAAGATGACAGATCTCTGTTAGTTTTAATAGCACCAATATAGCATCAGGGATTTAGGAGTCAAGAAGATAAGATACAGCCACAGAAAGGGACGTGATAGATGAGCATACAGAGATACTGAAATTAGGGCTGTGCAAGTCACAGGATTGCACTAATCATCTCTTAGAAGGAAATACTATTCAAAGACACAGTGTGCAGAAACAGCACCAAGAACACTACTGCAGAATCATCAAACCAAAATCTGAAGATCTGTCATTTCAAGGAAGGATAAGGATAAGAACTACAGTCACAATTCAAGCTCTGGAAGCCATTATAAACAGAGATTGGGCAACTCATTTCATTTATCCAAGAGAAACAAACTATTCCAAAATACAGTAAGTTATCACTTGGAATCTTTAAACCTAGAATGGATCTTGTTGTTTTATTAAATGAAATGGCAAACAGCTAAACAGAAGGAAGGGCTTCATGCCAAGTAACCAAGTGAGACACTCTGACACAGGCAGGATTTTTGGGACACCAGAGTGCAGCAGGTGCACGAGCAGATCAAAGATTTCATCAGTCTGAATACGTACAGTTATCAGCAACAGGGTTCCACAAACACAGTCTTGTGCCTAACTTGCAATGGAATTATTTCTTGGAAAAGAATCTTGCAGTTATTACATTTAGGTATAGGGCAGGAAGACAAAGAACTACTTATGCTTGCAAGCCATGTGACTGTATTCATACCAACCTTCCCTGGTCAACACAAAGCAATTCATGGACGCACGAGGGCAGTAAAATCCTTGCAAAAATCACAGGGTCAGGGAGGGTCTGTATTTCTTAAGATTTCTTGTCCCCTCTAGAACACATCTGTCTGTAAAAGGCTTATGCAGAACAGCCAGGGCTCTTTCAGGCAACAGATATTGCAGACAACAGAGGAAACGTGACAACAGGCACGTCAAGGCTGGGTTTCCCTTTCAAAACACACGAATCACTGGCTTCTTAACCCATCCTTCTGGCTATTTGTTCATGTCAGCAATTCAGAGCACAACACAAGGTGCCAGTCAAGAGCAGAAAATGAAACAACTGTTAACCCCCTGCATCCAAGGGCTGCTCGACACTGCAGTCCCTGCAGCAAGAAGGGCCTCAAAAGAGAGCATCAACACTCACAGATGTGATGAGCAGGAGAAACTCTGCCAAATTGCAGACATGAGAGGCCCTGACAGTTCAGTTTAGTTAGCAAATGACACTTTTCATGCCTTAAGACAGATGGGGCAGATTTCCCATACATACAGAAAAAGGACTTCTGGACTTTAACACCAAATGTACAACAGATGCACGAAAGGCTTGGAGAATACCACCATCTGGTTATCCAGAGGGAAAAGAAAAAGAAGAGTATTCTGGCAGCTAGTGCAGGAGAAGGCAGGAACACAGGCTTCAGTTATGTTGTGGGTGCTCCAACACTGCTCTAGCCCTCGTGAAAGCTTGTCTGCCTATTGCTCCTGTTCACTGGGCAGCAACTGGAGTGAATTTACTGCTTCCTGATTTACAGTTCAAAGTTTCAATGCACAGATACCACATTTATAATAATGGAAAGTGATGAAATTCACCACTTCAACTCTTCAAAGTTTAGCATAGTGTAGCCTTGATGCAAGCAATGTTCAAGTGCACAACAGTACCAGCCTTCCTTAGTTCTTCTTAACAGTACCAACGAATAGCCAGCTTGCAGCAGCAGGGAGAAATGTGTGGAACAGACACAAAGGAACCACGTTTTTGGTTTAAAGAAGTAATATAAAGCCAACTTGCTCTTACTGGAACGACGGAGGCCGAGAGTCTCCAATGCCACCTGTCCTCTCGATGGGAGGTGGAAGGTCTGCGTGGCTCTCGGTGCACTGTGAGCCTGTGTCAGAATGGGAGCCTTCAGCCAGGACCAGCTGTCAAGAGAAAGAAGAGAATTACACATATCTGCACAGGTTCCTCCACTCTGACACGTGCTTGGTCGCTGCTTTGTTACACACTCTGTGAGTAACTATGAGAGACAAGAAGAGAGGAAGTGCTCAGTGTCTGCTTGCACAGATTCCTGCCAATCCTTCATAAAATCATATTACATTCAACCTCAACGTGAAAACATTATCAGCTAGGATACACAAAGCACCACAGAAGGCTGTAAATTCTCCCCATAAAGACCAGTGCTGGAAATATAATTTCCATTTCCTACCAACACCCTCAATTACCACGAGGGAGGCTGTGGAATAATGAGTCACAGAGATGGACATGTCACAGTAGACACTTTCTACACTCAGTCTTGCTTGCTGTAAATTCAGGACAGAAAAACCATCTCCATCCAGCATGCCTGTTTGGTTAATCTATCAAAGATTAGTTCTAGAACAACCAAGTTCTTATTTTTCTCCACTAACAAAGGGAATTCTCCTTAGATTGTTTAGGATCCTATGAGCTTCATGATAAACTTTCCTTTGGCATGCTATGGAAGGAATAAAATGCTCCAATATTGTACCCTTTGGAACACAGGAGATGTGCTATGGGACTGCCACACAGAGACTTCTCCCTGTGCTTCCACAAGAACTCAAATGATTCAATCAAACCTGTATGTGGAAGCCCACCTGTAAGTCTAGATGATGCTTTTTGATTTGACTTGCCCCTCACAGTTTTGGAAGGTGCATTCTCCCTACAGCAGTGTGAGTTATGGCTCAGTGGATGTGGTGGTGGTGGGCTGATGGTTGGACTGGATGATCTTCAGGATCTTTTCCAACCTTAATGACTCTGTGATTCCATGATTATGAAATAAAGCAGTGTGAACCCCAGCCTCACAGCCAGGATCCAGCCCTGATAAATGGATTTCACCCATCACATTTCCCCTGCAGCTCTGACTGGCAGCAGCATTTTATTCCACTTCTTTGCTGCTGCTGCTGCTGCTCAGGCTGTGCAACAGCTGCTGGGCTGCACCCCAAAGGACTGTGTTTCAATGGGGAAATGTGGATGACTTCTGTGTGGTTCACATGGAGGAAGTTAATAAAGCAGTGTGGAACTAATTGCAACTGTTGATTCAGTTCATTCCATCACACTGAGTGCTGTTTGCTCTGCAGCCAATGCCATCCCACCACAGCACTTGTAGGAAAGCAGCCGGACTCTGAAACGCAAACAAAGCTGACACTCCCAAGCAGTGCCACCAAGGCAGGGAGCTCACAGTGTCAGGTTCCTCTCATCCCTGCTACCACCGTGCTGCAGTGAGTCCTTGAACCCATTGCTTCACCTCTCTCCATTTCCCTTTTTCCCCTCTGAACCAGATTTGCTTATGCTTTTAGCTTAATTATGGAGAAGGCTGCCTTTTATAGCAGCCTGCACTCCTCAGCCACCCAGCACAACAAACCTGCTCAGACACGAAGGCAGCTCAAGGAACCAGCCCAGCCAACACTCATGGCTGAATATGTCAAAAGAGAACCAGTCTGGGAAGGGGAAGGAGTGAACACTGGTGAGCCCTGCTCTCACAATCTCATCTACCTAAACACCAAGCAGTACAGCAGCGTGGAAATTATATTATTTAAACTGCCATTGCTACTGGGAGCAGCAGCAGCAGCTCTCAGTATTCCTCTTACCATAGAGGGGAGTGAGGGACTGATAGCAGCTGCTGAAGGAATACCCAAAAGAGCCACTGGTATCTGTGACAGTGACTTCACAATGCTGTGCTCAGCTACAGGGTAAAATCACAGACATCTCCATCTAACTTCAGAATTCCCATGCACAGCAGAGCAGAACCACCCAACCCTACTTTTGCAAAGAGAAGACCCTCACATCCCAGAGATTTGCAGCTTCCCCTCATCTGGCACGTTCTTTCCACTTCCCTTCAAGTTCCCCCTCTCTTCCTGCCAAACTGTCTGCTCCTTTCCCACCTCCTCTTTCCACAGAGTCCCCTGCACTCCATGCCAGTCCATGAGCAGATGAATGTGGGCACGTATGACCTGTGAAGAAACAGGCCCTGAAATCCCTTCATTTTAAACATCAGAAACCAACCAGAATCTGTTCACGCTGATTTTCAATCATGGCCTCAATTACGTGTCAAAAGGCAACAATGCACTTTGCTGAGCATCACTCAGTGCTTCTACTGCTCCTGAGTTTCCAGTATGGGAGAAGACATAATGCTTCTATCCCCCAGCTCTAACTGCAAACACAGTGCCTAAAAGCTTACATACACACAGGACAAGCATTATCTGTTGGCACCTAGCTAATAGAGAAGAAAAAAAAAAAAAAGAGAGAGGAAGAAGGCTCTGACATCACTGCCAGCCAATAGGATGGTGCACATCCCCAGCAGCCAGTCAGTGAACTGCTCCCAGATGTCACAAAGCCTTCCTAAAGAAGGGCTGGCAGGGGCAGGCAGCTGGCTCAGACCCGGCTGTGGCCACCAGCCAACTCCTTCCTCATTCCCAGCTTCCACCACGAGCTGGCCCTGCCCTGAGCAAGGAGAATGGAAAAACATTTTATGCTTGGATTTTACCTTCTTGCCTCTTTCTCCCCAAAACTGATTCCATCTCCAGCCATAAGTCACACAAGCCCACACTGGTGCCAAGCAGCATTTGCACGCGTGCCAGTAATTACAAAGAATGGGAGGAAGCAGTTCCTAATAGCCACAGAGAATTCCAACACTTGCACTCCATCAAATACACAGTTTGGTTTTGGTTTTCATGTTCTTTCACTTTGCCTTGAATCTTCACTCTTTACAGCCTTTTTGTAACATCTGTGCAGATGCACCGAATGAAAAACAACGTTGTTTGCAAGTCAGTTGCAATTGGAACTGGAGGTTTGGGATCATTCCTGCATCTCATGTTCACAGAGTAAAGAACCCAAACCACACAGGCTGCACAGCAGCGCAGAGCTGAAACCCAATTTAGATCCATACTGTCAGACAGTGTTCATTTGCATGTGACAAATTATGTCGTGGTTCTTGCATGAACGCTAATGAAAGGCAGAACACACTCACACCCTGTCCCAGGGCTCCAGCAGAGCTCCAGAGAGCTGGTTAGTGAGGGCTCTGCAGCTCACATCTGTCTTCTTTGCAGCACAGCCACAACTGAGCACACACTGCCTGTCCAAAGAGGCCTGGAGCATCTGAGTGCACATCACACGACACTAAAATCACTGCATTTTGCTCAGGTGGCATAAAGATGGACTGCTCACTGCCCTGTAAAAAGTGGAAATACACAAATGTCTTATTCAGTGCTTCTACAAAGCAAGGAGAACCACAGCCACTGTTAGAGCAGGAGTGCACTGAAAGGCTCTGGAGATAAAGTTCATCAGGAAGGCAGGCTGTGGTAACGCGTGCAAGGAAACGAGGAAAAGGGCAGGAGGGCAAAATGTCCAAAGCAAAACAGGCAGTGGAAAAAGCTGATGAGGGCCCGTGTTGCTGCTCAGCATCCTGAACCATTACACTGCAGGGCGCTGTGTGATTTAACACACTTGGCCAAAGGGAAAGGAAGCAGGGAGGGGAAGTTAGGATGCTACGTCTAGAGCTGCATGCAGCAAAATTAAAACACTATGCTAATGAGAAGGGAAGATCTGTATTAACAGCAAGCTTCATCCTTTGCTACTGCAAAAATGAAAGCAGATTCATCAGGCCAGAGATTGATGGCAACCCCAGATAGGAGCTGTTATTTTGGCATAGAAATACCTACTCTGCCCTAAGTCCAGAACAAACTGCATGAGATTTCCGACAGCAAATGGCATAGCACAACAATGAGACATCAATGACAACAGGGTGCAAGCCTCCCTTCTCTGGGACCAAATAATTACATCCAAGAAGCAATGTTTTGTGCATTTTCTTGGTTCTGCAATCTGGGGACAAGGGAAACCTCAAATACAGCACTGTAAGGACGGTTACTTTCCATGCTACATGGAGTTCCAAACTCTTCCCTTTTGTCTTCACTGAACCTGGCAGGAAATAGGATATGTTTGTGTTAACAGTATTAAGTACCAGATGAAGGACTCTGTCATACAACTAATGATAGTCTCTATATTTCTGAAAAAAAAAAAAAGTCAACCAGGGAAAAGGCAATCTATAAATCTAGAAAGCAGCAGCCCTCTGTCCCGTGTTATTTATTCAATTAAAATAACCCATTCCAAAATCAAAAGGATGAGATGCAGAGGAGAAGAACAAGCAGGATACAGGTGGGATGAGGAAGAGGTCCAAATACAACGAGGTGCACTGATTCCAATTTAATGTTAATCTAACTGTGCACTGAGTTCCAGGGCAGCAAAAGTAAGCAGCAACTAAAGTATTGCAGATCCTTCCTTGAATGCTTTCCCCCTATGGAAATCAGTCCTTCATATGACATTAAGATCAAAGTGCCCACCTATGACAAATAGAAGGATTCAAATGTTATTAAAAAAGATGAAACTCAAATTTCTCAACATCAGTCATCTTGAGAACTTCAAAGTAGTCACTGCATCAGTGAAGAGAGGAACTGGGGGGAGGAGACGGCTAAACTGTATTGGATGCACTTAATGTTCCAATTTTAAGTATGTTGTCTGGATGAGAAATAGACATCTATACATTGCAATAATTTCCAGCAAGGATGACAATTACCACTGATGGTTTGTGAAAGAATCCCAAGCTATCTGCCACCAGCTGATGCACATATTCTAACAAGGAAGATTGGGATCCATCATGCTGGTAATTGAACAAGGAAACAACCCTGCCCCAAACGAGGCCTTTCCAAAAGGTAAAATCCAACTTTGTTTGCCCTAAAATATATGGATGCAATTAACTGCTCAGTCCCAGTGAACAGGATATTAAAGAGCTCTCCAAACTGTGAACAATTAACTCACAGTAAGATTTACGTAAGATTTCCCCTATAATTAGCAGCAAACAGATGCAGATAAGCACCGCAATTTGATGGATGTTAGCATGGACAAAGTAATGTGGAATTGGGAACACAGGCCAGGCACAGATGCTTCAGCTGATGGTTCAGCAGAGGGAACAGAAGCCCTTGCCACCATCATCCCCCCCCCATTGTGCCCACTGCAGACAGCAGGCACACAGACACAGGCTGACATACCCAGGACACCACTCTTCCATTGAAGCAGGGCAGCTTTGCATTGTCATCCGAGATCTCCTCCTTCACCACCCTGCAAGAAAAACAACAGCAAGAAAGTCAAGAGGTTGAAATGACATCACATCAGAATCAGATGCTGCTATGTTCTACCGAGGCAATGGTAAGGAACCTCAGGGCCTGTCAGCCCACAGACAGCACTCTGCTGGGCTTTCCTGCCACACCAACCAAAGCAGAAGGTGTACACACTCACTAATGAGGCATTAAGAGAATGCATTCGTTTGCTACACCACAGACTCCAGCTTGGCTTCTCACCAGCACCGCAGAGCCCAGCTGTCTGCTCCCAACAGCCTCCCTCGGGTGGAAGGAAACTCCACAAAAAAAAAGTTTATTTGCACGCCGTTTTATTGCCACTTTTATAGCTGCTTAGAAAAACAAAAGCAAATGTTTGACACGAGTCCTCCAGGGGGGATATTGGAGCTTTTCTTTTTTGCACTCCCCAGCCCACCTCAGGGTAACGGCGACCATTTGCTTCTGACAATCTCTCAGCTTTAAGGAAGCCAACCCAAAGCCTCTCCGACTCAACGCAAGGCTGTGGTTCCCCAACCACATTTTCCTTTATTTATGTTTTTGTCTTTCTTGTTGCTGCGTAGAAAAAAAACCACGACGGCCACAAAGTAACTGAGTATGCATAGAAGGGGGTCAGATAATGAGAAAGGAAAAAGGAACCAAAAAGGAAGGAGGAGAGAGGAGATCAGAGCAAAGAGTTTCTTTTCAATGATTTCTCTTGGAAAATTAGGGATGAAGAACTAATTCTTTCACTTTCACTTCTATTTATTCTTTTTAAACATCCTTTTCTCTCTCTGCAGGTATTTGCAGTGTTAATGGTTTGCAGTTCAGTATTAGGCAGCCTTCACCCCACTCTTATTATTGGAAAAAAAAATGCTTTAAAATATTCATTTAACCCCTAGAGCATCTGTTCCCCCTCCCTTCACCTTTTGGCAATAAGGAACAGATCAGGAAATTTCAGCACTGTTTTTAATCGTTTATAACTCGACTCTACAGATGCAATTAAGAGCAGCTCCACTGAAATCAACACTCAGTGCTTTAAACAGCCCTGAGAATTCAGTGAAGCTCTCACACCTGTAATTCCAGAGCTGCAAGCTGTGTGCAGACAGAGGATTTCAGCTTGGCACAGATCTCCAGCCCCAGTCTCAAATTCAGACGTTACCTTTTCTGTTTCAGAGTCCTGGAGAGAACGTTCAACAAAGATCCAATAATGGGACTGGAGACAAAGATGCTGTAATCATTTTATCTTGACAACTGTGTGTTTGGAATGACAGCATCTTCTTTTTTTTAAAAAAAAAAATATAAAGATAAGGACACCAGCTCCTGCAAGGCACAACCAGAAGCAGAAGTTCTGCACCAAGCTGTAAGACACAAGGAATAAGACTGGGAAGATGCTGGCTGTGAGGTCCTGGGGGTCCTTTTGCACCTGACACACGCAGCAGCAGTGTGGGTTCCCTGCAGTGCTGCACAGGCTGGTCCAGTTGTCCTCCTGATGGAAAACCAGTCACCCACCCCTCAATGCACCCCGTCATGGCATCAGCTTTCTGCTGCAGCTATGGGAACGACTTCAGATCTGTTGCAACTCCAACTACTAAATATAGCCTGGAGCTATGAGGCAAGAGGAGGACAGACTGTAATCCCAGCTTGCTTTGGGTAGCAATGAGCAGTGCCAAGAACGTCCAATGCAGCAGCAGCCACTAATTTCAAATATCACCCTTCTGCAAATGGTGACTTGCACTAAAGCAGCAGCCCCTTCCAGCTCCCAGGGAGGAGACAAGGGAGCAAAGGGCTACAAAAGGATGCAGTCACACGCTTCAGTCTGAGCAGAACTTTGTAATCTGGAACCACTCAAACCAGCAGCACAAGGAAGATGAGGTGAAGCACCTGATCTGTCAGCAAGAACCACTTGACAGCACGAAACACATCCCCTGCTCACACACAGCTAGAGATTCCCTGCAAAAGAGGGGATGCTCATTTCCTCCTGGCAGCTGCTGGCAAGGTTGAGATGCGTGCATCCTTGTTCCAGCATATGCAATCTTCTGCTTAAATCAGGTTAGGAACAACAGTCAGAGCAAAGAGAGCAACAAACACTACCCAGAGCTCCTTACCATCAGATCTGAGTGAACACAGACTTGAGAAAGAGAACGTGCAAGAAAGGGTGTGGATTTGCAGGGAAGAGGAGGGGGGAGCTCTCAGAAGCTCACATCCTCTGCTTTATTTGCCTTAGAGGAGAATTCAGGACTAATTACTAAACGAAACAATCACTGCTGGTAACAGCCCCTCCTTCCTTTTGCTTCCTGGAATTGTGTCTGGATCTTCTGGCACTGCTCCCAGCCTCCCTGCACTAATAGGTGCTTTTGCCTTCACCAAATGCAGCTTTCACCACCTCCCGACACCTCACCTGCTTTGGTGACAGGCTCACAGCATCACCTCCCTGCACCCTGCTGCTTTCTTTCCTCCAAAGAGGATTTTAGCCCTAGGACCAAGGGTTGTTCAGGCTTAACCTTGCTCTCATCCCTCTGCCAAGCTGTTTGCTGCCACAGAAGATACTCTGACTCCTTCCTAAGAACCCCAACTGAACCCCACAAGCCTCCAATTCGTAACCCTGCAGGCAATTAGCTATTAAACACTGGTTTGATATCACTGCAGACACCTGCACTGCTATCATGCACACCTATGGGAGACTTACTAAGACTGACTGAGCTAGCAGATTTTTCCTGCCCACTCAGAAGAGTGAGGCTAACCAGGCAGCTGCCCTCTGCTCATGGCCCAGCCTGGAAAGCACAAACAGCAGAGCAGTTTTTGCTTCCCTTTGCCAGAACCACTGCATGAAACCACAGTGTCATTTATCACTCTAGGTTAATAAGTACCATACCACAAAGAGCACATCTAATAGACCTTAGCAGCAGATTAATCCCATTCTGTCACTGTGATCCTAATCAAGTCTTTCCTCAACTCTTTCTTACCGTCCTTTATTGATGGGAGATGGAGGAAAGCAGCTTCATTCACTACTTTTTATTACTTGCTGGGAGACCCTTAGAGAGCAGGTGAAGTAATTAAGCCATTTGTTCTGTATGTTCACTGATTCCAATGACCACAGTGAAGGAAAGAGATTGTTCACACATTAGCTCTGGTTTGTAGCATCATGGAATCATGTAGGTCAGAAGAGAAAACCAGAAGTCACCCAGTGCCACCTCCTGCCCAATGCAGCTCCCACTGCCCAGGGCCACATCTCTTCCAGTTCTGAGCATCTCCAAGTATGAAGACTCCATCTCTTTTGGCAACTTGAGCCTGTATTTATGAAAAGGCAGTTTTCCAAAGGAAGTATTTAAATCAGTAAAACCTTAAGTAATCCTAAATCCACACCTGCAGTGAGTTAATACTAAGGGAAGTTGTAACATTCTGCTACCTGCTTTGGCAGATTTGGAAGCTAAGCCCACTCAAAAGCAACCTTTCCTTCAGAAGCTCCTGGCTTCTCATGCAGTTTGACTGATATCTGCACGTGGACCAAAAGCAGGAGGACTGCACTCCACCAGTGCCAGCTGTGGCTTTGCAGAAGCTCTGCTGACTTCAGTAGCCATAAGGAAGTGTTGGTAAAGCTCTTCTGGAAGAAGCTCTTTCTGAAGATGTGTCAAATCAACCCCTCCATTTTGCCTGGCAGCAGTTTTATGTTGCAAGACATCACTTTAAGTATGTAAAAAAAAACAAAACCTATTTGTTAGCCTCCAAGTTATTAGCCATATATGGATATATTTGAAGATGTATTAAGAAAGAAAAATGTGCATTTGCACCTAATGCAAAAATACATAAACTCAGTGACAGAGTTAACTGGAAGGAGAGGATGACAAGTCAATCTGCAGAAGAAGCTTATAAATAAAAAGAGCAAGCAACCTCACAGTCCTTAAGCCAACTGTTTTGGCAGATCATAAATAGAAGATGATGTACTGCAACATCTTTTAAGCTTCATCAAACGTGACTACATAATTTGTCTTTCAGGGCTCATTCCATACCAAAAGGGCTGATCTGAAGGCACACAATATAATGAGAAGTGATACAAATCATATCAACAGTCACCATCCTCACTGACACTGAGGTTCTCATGCATCCCAGGGCTGTGACTGGGCTGTGTTTGGCACAAGTAAAGGCAAAAAGTGTATCACAACTTGGTTGAGAAGAAAAATTTGCATTATTTAGCAAGTTATTTGACTGTATTACTGTCTCACCAGTGTTAAGAATCTGTTCTTGCAGCTGTCCCAAATGACAGACACACATCGTCAGCTCTGCCATGAAGACAAAGAAGTCACAACACAAAGGGACGAGTCAGCAAAATCATGAAGCAAATCCAGATTTCCAAGTCTCAGTCCACTGCCTTAGTTACAAATAATTAATAATAATTTAACCATCCCCCATAAAATTAAGTAGTTCTTGAAAACAACCTAGGAAAAACACTGCTAAAGAGAGCCTACAGCCAGCAGCAAGCTGGTTGTGGAATGCCCATTGGAAACAGTTGGCTTGGATTTTGCTTTCCCCAGGGTGCAATTATCTTTAAAACTCATTCTCCAAACAGTGCTGGTGGATGAATGACACTCATGCAGTGCCCAGGCAGGGATGCAGCCTGCTGTGAAGCTCTGCAGCTGAAGCCAGGCCACCAATACCTTGCACACAGAGAGCTGCATCCCAATTCATTGCAGTGCTGCAGTTTCCAACACAGGTGCCACCCTCCCAGCCAGCCCCGAAGCTGAAAGATGAGGTTCATGAAGCTTTTGGCTTATTATCAACAACTCTTAGCCCCACTGGTGGGCAGCACGAGGCTGCATGGCATGTCAGGTTCTGGGCAGCTCCACTATAGGATAAAATTGATGAAATATTCTTGCGTGAAAGAAACAGATTTTGGTAACGTGTGTTATATCAACTGCTCTGTGTAACCACGGAACATGCCAGCAGCTCCAGACCTCTCATTACAAGTACTCCATTCATTTTCAATGAAAGTGCAATTGTGGTGTCAGCTGTCAACCAACACAAGAACAAGAAATGCTAAACACACACCAGAGCAAGTCACGATAAGAATCAATCCTTATTCATCTGTGACATGCTCCTTTTGTGTGCTCTTGAAAGCGACTCATTATAATAATAAAGCTAAATCAAAAAATATCCACAAGTGCTAATCAATACCTCACAGAACAGTGACTTACAGGCAGGCTCACCTAACTGCTAAAGAGGAACTAATGCCAATCAGGTTATCCATATGTGGCTCCAGTACTCCCAGGCTCCAGATACCTGGGAGAGAAAAGAAGCTATTCATGAGTTTATTTAGTGTGGTCCCCAATGCAGAAACCTCAAACACTTATTAGAGATAGTATCTCTCTCCCCTAGGTTATTTGTCTAGACATGTTTTAATGAAATGGCATAATTCTGATCACTGATGTGGTGAAAATTACAGCGTTTATTCTCATCAGGTCTTTTGGTGCATGCCAGGGATGTGTTGTGAGGAGCATGGGTCGTACACCTGCTGCACAGGGACAGCAAAGTGGAGGCTCCCAGCTCTGTGTTCACCTCCATACCACGTGCAAAGGGACAGATTTCCCACAGGGCTGTGCACAAAGCTTTGCTGGCGCTGCTGGTCTCTTAAATGCAGCCTTGAAGTGACACACAGATCAATCTGATGCACGATTTCTCACTGAGTCCCCAAGGCAGAAATGGTACAATGTAAATCTACCTTGTGGCTGCTGCAGCTATCCAGCACTGGATGGTCTCCATGGCCAAAGTGTTCTGGAATGCAGATCACAAGACAAAGTTGCCCTTGTCGGTACCCCTTCCAAGCCCCTTTCTCCTTAGGAGCAAATACAGCCTCTAACATTTTGGTGGGACTGCAACGCTGGAAGATGAGCTGGTAGTGTAATGAGAAGCTGGATCAGACCTCTTCCATTCACGATTCCACCCACACCTCAACTTCAAAGAGGAACTGGGCCTACAAGTTTGGTCAGGAATCAAAAAAGAGAGCTGCAATTTGTCACAAAATCCAGCCTTTAGAGGTGTGCCCATATGGGATGGAGATTGCTCACCATAAGCTACCACCTTCTAAGTCAGGGTGGGACGCGCCAGCACTCCAAAATGGGAATGGATGTCTGACACCATGCCCATGTTAAGGAGTGCCCAGCAGCTGGCAGAGCATCCTGATGCAGGAGCTGCTTGTTCCTGGCCTGCCCAGCTCTGCCCTTTTGGTTCCCCACCTCCTTCAGGAGTCGTTTCAGAGACTGCTGAGAAAAACAGCGAGATAAAAGCTGTTCAGAGTTCATGCATCACAGGGAGGGAACTGAACCTCTTCCATATGCAAAAGGGACAGCAAACAAAATGCAAAGCTTTCATTCCCAACCTGCCTAAGCCCCGCTACATTTGACTTCTAAATGAGTATTTGTAGGTTTAAACATCGAACGCAATGGAACCTCTGCCTTAATTTACCAGTAAATAAAGCTCAGAGCATTAGTATGGAAGAGAAGGGGGAAACACAGGGCCAATTACTTTATTTATTTAAAGCCCCGTGAAACAAAAAGTAGGCTCTCATTATCCTGGCACCATACAGTATGAGATAAGCCTTCTGCAGGGAAAACCATCATCTAAAAGGCGAGATGAAAGGCTCATTGCAGCTGCAGGACGTGGCAGAGCACTGCAGGGCTGACAGCGCAGGGTCCTTCTGAGCTGGGTTAGCACTGCAGCTCCGGAGAGGAATTTCACAAGGAACTGAACAAGAAGGAAAAAGAAAAGCAACAAATAATCCATCCACCAGTTTAGTTTGTAACCAGAAGGCCCTCCTGCCTTTATTGTCTTATTTTCAATGGATGGAGTGGCTTGTTTCTCTAGACTGGAGGATGTGCCCAACCCTCAGACACAAAGCACTTCTATAAGAAATCTCTTCCCAAATCCTATCTGGGAAGCAAAAGCTGCTGCCGTATCAGGTTGAAACTAATGAGAAGAGCCCAAATTCCTACTGCACTGTTTGCAAGCACCAAAATCCCATTTGCCAGCTAAGCCACAACCCACAGCACACAGCAGTTTTTCACAGGTCAGACTTCCCATGGGCTCAACATCAACAAACATGGGAAAGCTGCAGCAGGTGAAGTGCTGAGTCTGATCTTGTTGCAGCTTTTGCTACAAACCCATAAAAAGTGGCTGAACAGCTCCAACTCGCCAACCCACACCATAAAAACTTGAAAAGCTTCTTGAGCTGTCCAGCCCCTATTTCTGCAGAAGGATGAAGGCAGCATCTCTCAGAGTAAAGCTCTGCTTTGCCATTCCCTCATTCTGCTTTCCCTGAGCACAGCACACAGCTTGGCTGAGCCAGATAAGGGCAGCCCCAGCAGTGCTAGAGTCCACAGTGCTGTGGCCAAGTCCTATCTCTGCTACACTCACCAGGAGTTACCAACCAACAGAGGATGATATCCTAATTAGTGATCCCTGGAGTCTAAAGAGAAAAAGAAGCTTTAAAATAAGAGATACTATGGGTGAGAAAGAGGTGAAACTTTCTGCATAACTGTTCCCACTACAACAAACCCAGTCAGAATGGAGTCATTCATGTAATTTGTCCAACTATCACTGCACTTATAACTATCTTTAGGCTGGCAATTCTGTACAAATAACTCAGAATAAAATTCAATTAATCATGCAGAGCTTTAATAAGTCAGTACAGTCAAAACATCTTAATATCTCTCTTCTCTCCATAGTATGCTCCCCTTTGCTGTCAGCAAGTATCAAAGCTGTGGCTCACAAGGGCAGGACCTTCAGCAGAGTGCCAGCACTGAACTTTCTACAGACCTTTTCTCACTCCTTAGCTCTGCTGTTAGCTCTCTGTGTACTTATTAAACATTCATCCAGGGGAAAAAAAGATCAGTAAAGTGGACCATGCAAAACAAACCTCAAAGGACAGATGTCTGACAATGGTTTCATTAGGCAACACTTAGCTTATAGAGAAAAGAAGGACCCACTATAATCTACATTAATGTAATGCTGTGAGTGTTTGCACACGTTCCAGTTGTGTGCCATTACAAAGCCAATTCCTGAACTATATGACATTAGCCCAAAGAAATCAAACATGTACAGCTTCTAATTACGATGCTCAATCTGCTGCTGGGAGCTCACAGTGCCCCAGTTACCAATGGACATGGAGTGGAGAGCTTTGGCAGCAGCTTGGAACTCAGACAAATCCCTGCTGCCATCACTCCTAACAGCCATCAGGTAAAGGGAGAAAGGAACAATAGGAGCCACAAGTTTCTAACAGCTAAAAAAAGATAAAAGTTCCCGTTTTGCTTAATTTGAAGCAACACATTTTATTGGAATGTGAGTGACAGACCCAAGGTTGTCAAAGCTAATCGTGTCCAGAGACAATCACTGGAAGCAGCCTACGGTCACTCTGCCAGGCTTGGCTAAATAATTATGCCACGAATTGCTTCTTGTATCCAGTATATTCCAGGCCACAGTCACTCTGTCAGTGATTACAATTTCTACTCGCTCATTTCCCATTAATTCCTCTCTTATTGAAGGACAAAAAGCAAGACCTCATCTTTAAAAGGAGAGGAGCTACGCTTCGTGGATTTCTCCCCTTTGTCATTTTACCACCCTGTGTCAATGTATCCCCATTTAGATTTAGCCTTACCACTCCCAAGAGATCTCTGGGCTGTTCCCCAGTGCCAGTACAACACAGTGATCCCTGCTCCCAAACACACTGAGCTGCACTTTGGTCTCAATTCCCTAAACTGCCCCCTCAGCCAGCTGAAAAGCTTTCCTACTGCTCAATGGTTATCAAAGCAAACAAGAGCACAATGCAACTCCTTTCCCCACCAGCTGAAAAACCTGGTGTGTTTACTCCGGCTTCATTACACGCTCACACCTATCACATCAGTGTCACCACGGTAATTACAGTGGTCTGAAAAAGCTAGCAGCAAATAGGAGCCAATTAAGTGCCTAGCCTAGGGAACAGGTCCTTCCCAGCTTTTAGGTTGAGATGCAGAGCCTTGAGGAGCCAAGGTTTCACGTGCACAGCCCAAACAAAGAGCGCACAGCCCGACGAACCGCTGCCTTCAGGAATGGCAGCAGAACACAGCAGCAGTGATTCTCCTAAAGGGAGCTCACACTGCACCAGTAGGGTGAGGGCAACACCAGTAGGATGAGAGTAATATTCACCCCTTTGTTCTGTATCCCTAAGAAAGGAGAACTTGTGTACACCTGGGGGACTTGGAGGCCAAGGCCACGAGCAGCTGGGGATGCTCCCAACAACAGCCCTCTGAAGAGTGGCCACTCTGCCCCTCCTTTCCTTCTGCCAGGGGAAAGGCCCAGCTCTGTCTGGTTTTGGTAGCACAAACTGCAGTCAGGCTGGTACTAAAAATGCAAAGCTGCCCTGCAGCAAAGGATAATTCACAGTAGCATTATCTTCAATTCGCTGGCTTACTGTTAATTTGGACTGAGAGGGAAGGGGGGAGAGGGGGGAAGTGTGTTAGCAAAGACAAAAATAAGCAGATGACAAATTTGCTTATTAACCACATTGAATAAGAGATGTATTAAAAAAAGACATAAGGAGGGAGGGGGGATGAAAAGCGGGATGTGAAAGAAGCAGGAGCTGGAACAGCATGGCTAATGTCAACCATGAAACGCAACCCCTGCTGGGACAATTTGAAAGACAGAAGAGGCAGGCTTTCCAGCATTAACTGTTTGATTGCTCTCCTTCACATGCATCTACCTAATATCACACAGGGAACAGGACTCCCAGCTACCCTACAGATCATTCTTACAAGCTCAAGACCTGAAACAGCACCGAGAACAACAAATAAATTCACTTTGCTTTGGAAACCATTGATTCAAAGCTGATGACGATGCACTGCATGAGACACTGCAAAACAAATCCTACACCCACTTTCAGGCAGTCCAACACAAGCAATAGGTCCATTATTTAGTTTACCTTTATTCCAAGCATCCAAAGCTCTTTGGAAAGCACACCCTGTACCACTGCAGGTTTATTTTCTAGTCCCACTGAAGCCAATGAGAGTTTTTGCAAAGGCTGAATGAAGGAACTTGTCGAGCATGTCTACGAGCACAGCACTTGCTTGATAATCTGTCATGACCACATACCCCCAGCTTTCCCCATGACATCAGGAATCCTGCCTCTCCCTTGGATGAGCAGCTCTTCATCTCCAGTTAAAGCAACACAGCTGGCCCACAGCCTCCTCCATATTCATGTTTTCTCTGCTTTCTGCAGCACCTGCATCCTGCCATCACCTGCTGCTGCTGTGCAGCTCCTTCTCCTGCTAAGAGCAAAATGTAATTAGTGTCAGACACTTCTTTGCATCTCCCTTTCCTAATAAGGACAAATGTTGTCACACATCCTTTCTGCCTCCTCAGCCCTGTACTCAGCAGTCTCCAGGCTCATTTAGTTTTGTTCCATTTACTGTACCTTTTTTTTCAGTTTTTGTCAGCTTGGGTCTATAACCAAAATAGGTCACGAGAAATAAACACTTTGACAGCAGCCCCAAAAGTCTTTGCAGTGGCAAATCATTTTTTTTTCCTGCAATTTTAAGAATCCTACCACAACAGCAAATTCAACAGAAGGTATTACCCAGATAGAGGTGGAAGGATCACGGAGCTGGTCACTGCAAAGAGCTTCTGTTGAAACCACTGTAACAGAACAGCAATGGGTGGGGATGGGAGGGAGAGCCTCTGCCATCCAGCTAAACAAAAGGAAAGAAATCTGATAAGATACCAGGAGTTGTACTGGTATGCTTCCGTGCATGCAAACTCAGTGCTTGGGTCAGTTGGAAGCAAGACTCAGTTTATTTAAAAGACCTTACAAACGGGAACTGAAACCCAAAAGATAAAGCCTTGTATTTACAAGATTCCTGGGCATGTAATCGTAATTTGCTTACAGTCTCCTCCAAAGGTACAATTTGTGCATAAATTAAATGAGGCATGAGTTTAACTGGTTGCAATATCAGGAGCTGGATCATTTACTCAAGGTCAAATTCAAAGGAGACAGAAGAGAGAAAAACAGAACTCAGACCTCAAATCCCAAACCAGTGCCTTAGTCCGTGCAGGCATTCTCTTCACACTGGAATGGGAAGAAGAAAGAAAGGAGATGAGGAGGCTTGTCCATAGAAAGACCAGAAGAAAGTTCACTCCAAAGAGCTTGTGAGACTTTCAGCTGCAGCCTCCAGGCTGGTGAGAGACCTTAGAGAGACAATGGGCTCTTAACCTGATCACTTAGGGTGCAGGCAGAGCATGGAGGAAGGAACACAAGCATTAAGGTCAGCTTGGTATTTCCAGAAGAGCTATCTTGGGTCATGGAGAGAGCTGCATAAGAATAGGTTGGTAAGGGCAGCCCTGAAAAAAACTCTATAATTCCACTGCAAAGACTCAAGGCAGTTTCTGAAGGGAGATTCCCAACTGTCCTAACAGGTTGACTACTGGTTAATAGTGATAAACAAAAAATAAAAGCATGACCTGTTTCCCAGCATGCACACAGTTTAGCCAAAGATGGATTCCTTCCTAGACTAGGATACTTGCAGTACATCTGTTCTGATACAAGAGCCTTCCAAGTTTTGCCTTTTTCTCTTTAATCCTGTAGAGAGTATAAAGAAATGGAATCAACTCCTCTGGTTAGAAATGCTTATGGAAGCAAGCACTCAAAGACATCCTGGGCTCAAATGGAGATTCCTGCAGCCCCAGCCTGGCACACCCAGAGATTTCCCACTCCACTGCCCACTGCTGTTGCTAACAGCACACCGTGGTCTGCAGCAATGCTCATCACATGCCATCTGCACTTGCAGGAACTTCCATGGAAGCCCACTGAAGCAGCACACAGTACTCACAACCAAAACATTTCCCACTGCACCACCAACCGCAAAGGGAAATGTGATGAACATCTGCATTTTGCTGGTGAACGAGGGCTTCTGGAATACAAATTTCCATATGCTGTGGTGCAATTGGCTTGCTCTGCTTACAGAGCAGATGGCAGCTCTGTGACATACAGCCCTGGCATCTGCACTGGAGTGCAAGGCCCAAAGACATCACCAGCATCCATGGGTCACACAACCCCACAGCCATAGGGCTGGGACACTGATTTACAGCAGCAGAAGAGCAGAGATGTGTCTGCTTTGTCTCTTTTTCTAATCATCTGTACCACTATTATTGAAATTAACAGGTAATATTCAGTTGACACAGAGCGAAAATATTTTTTCCCATCGCTTTATGCTTTTAACTACAGCTACAAGGTTTCACTGGAAGAAAGAAGTAACAGCTTCATCACTTTATGATCCCCTCCTGCAGTTGGCAGGAGGGGAACCAGCAGTGAGAGGGCCTTTAGTGCTTTAAAAGCAAACCAAAGCCATCAGTTCTGTTTTGCAGCAAGCCACAAGGCAACCCATCAGTGATGATCAGTGCCCCTCTGCAGACATTCTGATAATTAATGGAGTATTTCAAGCATCTAGTTATGATCACACAGTAATACTTCATTGTTTTGTGGGTAAGGACTGCCACAGGACGCTTGTTAGGACGGAAGATGATTGTCTGTTTTGCTATCATGGGGGAATGCTGTAATCTCAGTGAGGTATCTAACAGCAACCTGTGCTTTTGTTATGAGTAACATTCCCTCAGGTTCAAACAATACACCATCAGCAACAAAGCACACGCAGCGAGGACCACAGAACCAGCAACTGTGAAGAGAAAAAGCAAATTGTGAGAGGAAAGAGAAAGAAATGTCACCTCTCCCCCCACCCCACCCGTGAAAGAGGCTGGATTAGACCAGCTACGCTGTGCACTTGCTAACTGCCCTTCAGCTGAAAATGAGCTGCAGACAAATGCTGTTTTCCTGGCTGACCACGAGGCACATTGCAATGAATGACCCCAACAGCCAGGCTCTCCCCAAGCAGCTCACTGTGTGCAGAATCCTCAGAAGCCTCTCCTAGCAGAAAGCTGAGGTGTGAGCCCTGCAAGTGACTCAGCGCGGTCTGCAATCACATCACAAACTGAGTTCTTTCAGATCGATGGGTTTTCATCCCTGGCACACGTCTGGAATGAATGAATCTCTTCCCCCCCTTCATGAAATCCATCGATGTGCACAGACACTCCCAGCCAAGCAGCTGCTGGGGCTCATGCTCACGAGTACTGAAATGGCAGACATTGCAAACTGAAAGTTCTTGAGGCAGTGAGAAAAGCAAAGATGTTTTAGTTCAAAAGAAATAGAAATACGGTCAAAACCACCTATGGTGAGCACTTCTTATCACTCTGCAATACTTTAGGTATCTACATGCTGGAATATCTTTGCAAAAGATTTCTATAACATATCATCTAACCAAGGCTAGGGAATGAACCAAAACCCATCATTATTTCCTAAAGCAACCCTCACGTCAGTGGCTTACACTCAACATGGAGATAACCCACAACACAACCATGGGGCAAATATTTAGGTCATTCCTTCCTGAAGCACTGTAAATTCCTCTGTGTTTGCTCAGCAGCTTGTCTCACTCAATTAAACTCCAGAGCAGAAAATGGGAGGACTGGGCTCCCAGCAGCCTGCACTGAGAGCTGAGACCCCAAAGCAGCATCAGCAAAATCACCAGTCACATCCTTCCCCTACATCCTCATTAAACCACCAGTTGGTGCTTAATTAATTTAGAAAATGCCATTCTAGTGGCAGCCCAATCCAAATGCCCTTTGCTAAAAGGCAGGCAGTAACTAGGTGAAAAAAGCACAGCTACACATCAAAGGTTTTCTATATGACATACACTTAAAATCTTCTCTCAGCTCTGACACTGAAGGGAGTTGAAGGCCACAGGAAAACCCAGAGCTGTATGCCCATACCATCCCTCCCTGCTCTCTACCTCAAAAGTGATATTCCTGATACCCATTTGACATTTTGCAGATGAGAAAGGAGGATATTTTCACCACGTTACGTCCAAAGAATGCACATGGAGGACAAAGCAATTGGAACAAAATAAAGATGGTTACAGATAGAAGCAGGATGGATAGTTAACAAATGGCTTACGTGCTTTCACACAGCACTGTGCTTCCACTGGAAAAGCCAGTTTCCATCCAGAAACTGATGAAAATCTCAGTGCAAATGGTTAAGTTCTACCCGAAGGTTATTCTCATGTTTGGGTAAGCAAGAAAACATTAATACCTAAAAGGGTCTCCTCAGGAGATAGCTGGATGCAGCTCTTGGACTCACTCTGGACAACAGACCTGACCTCTTCATATTTTGCTCTGGGAGAGGTTCACCCATCTGCCAATTTTTGGAGGGTGTGTAAGGAGAGGAATGTTTGTTCTTGTATGATCTGCAAGTAAAAAGGGGTCAGGAAGCAGCTGGAGCTGCCATGAACTCAGAGAAATCATGTTACTACCAACAGATGCTCTCTCCTTACTGCTTTCTTAGTTCTGCTTTCTCACCAGGTCTGCTGCACTCAGGAAAGGCCCACCTCACCACTGCATGGGGAGCTGCTATCTGCACCCTGGGCAACACACACATCTGTTTGGAGAACCACAGATGGACACGGAGTGTCATTCTATTGGGAAAGGACATTCTTGCAACTTCCAAATAATTTATTATCAACAACATGCTCTTCAATGGGTATTTGATTCAATTACCGTTCAGCTTCCAATTGTCACACCAGCTTTGTGAGCCCAGCTAACAATGCAGGCCAATTTAAAGGCAGCATTGCCAGCATTCACCGCTCAATCTTTGAACAAAAGAAAAATGAGGCAAAATAACCTGTCTTGGAACACTCAAATAAGCAAACAGGACTGCATTTCTGAACATTCATGGTGATTGGGAATGATTCTTCTAACATCACTGAAAGGAGAATGAGACCTACCCTGAATGATTGTGAAAAAACAACACGTTTTGCTGCGACAGGAAAAACAGACAAGTTGAATCATCTGCCCAGAGCCAGAACCCCAGCCAAGTGAATGAAAGCAAACACTGATTAAACAAACACTAAAAGTGATATTAGAAATTTTTGAGAATATTGAGCTCCCCCTTTCCATTTTTTCCACCCACCTACTCAGTTTATCTTGTCTGAAAACAGTTGGTTCTTTGGATCTGGGGTTGCATACACATACTGCATCTATTCCACTACATTCCACGCAAATATCTGTGCTTAAACTAGATCTAAGTGTGTTTTTCTCATTAGCTACACACAGAGATTTCAAAACGCTGGCAATGGAAGGCTACAGCACTCTGACATTTACTCCAGGCTGCCAGAGCAGAGGATTCATTTACAGATCAACACCAGCTTAATTACTCACCCCCGTGGTATTCTGTAATATCACAATCAAAGCACAGAAAGCAGACGGTTAGCAAAACACGAAGCTGCTTCCTTTACCTATAACATAACCAAAGAAAAGATAACAGTCCTCGATATGGCGAGTAATTACCTGATAAACTGCACCAGCAAAGACTGCTCGGCTCAGAGCAGCAGTTTACAGACATCAGCTTTAGTAAATAACAGAGGAGTCCCTATGTGAAAAGAATGCAAACAAAGGAGTAAATTGAGAGAGACTGTAAGGCACAAGCAAGCTTTAAAACAAACACAACGCAATGACAGGACCAAGCAACATCAATCTGTTTCAATCTGTGCCTTGTCCTCTATCACCAGAGGGCATCCACCTCCTCTCCATTACTCAGTACAGTCAAACTACCCCCAAACACTCCAACAAAGGACTGGCAACAGCACGGTGTGCTCTGTGCACAGCAGGCTGAGTCCTGCCAGGAGAAGGGCCCTGCTGGATGTCCTGGAACAAAGCATAGATTGCACCTATCTGCAGCCACCGGTCACCAAAAGGACACCGCCACCTCGTTGAGCCTTCTCAAGTTCTCTTTGGGTCCTTGCAGCTCAGAGGTGGAGATGCTGAAGGAACACTGACCTTGGGATCCCCGGGGCAGGGCTGAGCTCAGCAGGTGCTCACCAGCTTCCTCGCTTTTCTTTTCTTCCCAAACAAAACCCTGAAATCTCAGCATTTTAAGCAACCAAAAGCTAGATGATAAGCTGCAGCAATACATGTATAAGGCTAAATAAACACCTGCTAAGAAAGGTGTTTCATGGCTTTAAGATACCTGGCCTTAAACCTGGCTTCATGCAGGACTGGGTGTCAGGACCTCTTACATCACTCTGAATTTCAAGCATAACGCTGCTCCTTTCCAGCTTCCCATAAACACACAGACAAAAGACCCACCTCTGTGCTGCTGAAATTCAAACCAAAACAAGCTTGCCCTTTTGCAAACACAAAAGGAGATGCCTCCTCCTGAATATAAGCTGCAGTTTCCTCATTCACAAGGCAGGTGAGCAGGCTGTGAACACAATTGCAAACACTCATCCTACACGTTTCCCCCAAAGATGTAAAAAATGGACCACACAGCTCTAAAGACAACATATGGTGAGTTACATGAGCTCTGCCCCACCTCATCTACCAGGGAAATCTTTGCAGGCTGAAATACTGCCTGTAAATGAATTCCTTAATTCAAAATTTGAATCTGTTCCATTGCTCTTTATGGCTGATGCTGAACGTGGCTCTGCTCCTGGTGCTGGCTGCCCGTTCATACCCCTGCATCAGACTACAGAAGTGATAATCATTAAAATATATATGAAAATATATCTTAAAAAATACTACTTAATAAATCTCATTTAATTCAACCCCCTTCACAGACATATTTTCATTAGCAAGCTCGTAGACAAGGTGTCAAACTCGCATCCTATAGAGCTGGTTGATGCTTCCAACAGCTGTACAGTCTCTGTGCACATGCTGAAGGCTGAGCTCTGGAAAAAAGACCTGTGCTCTCACTGTGGGGAGGTGTTCATTAAATGAACAGTAGTAAACTTGTTTTTCTAACTTGTCCTGCTGCTGATCACTAGCCACAGGAAGCAGACCAAACCTGATGTAACCCTTTTGCATGTTTTCATAGCATTAGCTTTAATAAATGTAACGTACTCCACCCTCAGAGCAGAGCAGTCCTCAGGTTCCAGCAGAAAGAGTGGTTGCTTTAAGTATTTAGATCACATTACAGCTGGGACTTTAAAATAAGCAATGGCTTGTACTGTAGACAGCTATCAGCATCAGCTCGATGAAATACTCATAAGCTAACCCAGTGTGGTTAAAACTATGGCCTTTGGGGTCTGTTAGCATGGTGTTCTTGTATGTATCTTCCTTATTTGTGCTACAACAGTGCTTTCTGATGCCAGCAAACAGCAAAGCAGCACGGTGCCAGGTGCTGGATAAATACAAGCAGTAAGAAGCACGGTCTCTGTATAAACAAAAAGGTTTACGAATTTCAGCAGAGAAAATGGGAAAACCCCAAAAGAAGCAAAGACTATTCTCATTAGGCCAGCAGCTAACAGAGACCTCAATTCAGCACTGCTCAGTGTGTCCGAGTGCTCAGCCGAGTCCAACCTTAATGCTGGGGCTGAATGCAATGATTTTGCTATTTCCCAGGTCTCAGCTCAGTGCTTCAGCTACGCAACGACCCATTTCCTTCCATAGTGGTGAAACCTTCACTGACCACACATCCCTGTGCTGATTCTTTTTGCTGTCTCAAAGAACAAAATAAAATAAAATTGCAATTCTGAACTCAACCTGCTTCACCTGTTGTTGGTTGGTTGGGGTTTCTTGTTCTAAAAGGCATGCTCCTGCCACTGCAAGCTTCACATTCAGACCAGCATTGCTCACGGGGTAGAATAGCTCACGTGGAAGCTGGCTGAAACCCAGTGAGAAGCTCAGGCTTGTGGTGAGCTCACCTGGAATCAGCACCTGCTACCCCACAACACGGAGGTCCCAGGGCTCAGCCAGGCACAGCAACACGCTGTGCATTCACCCCTTGCTCTGCCTTATCTCCATCACACAGAGCAGCTGCCCGAGTGTGACCTGAAGACAACTTGCACTATTATGCAACCGCTCCCTCCTCCTCCAAACCTCCTCCTCCCTCCTAGCCTACAGATCAGCAACTGTGGCCAAAAAGGGGACAGGGGAAAAAAAAATCTCCCAAAGGATGCCATTTGCTGCTCCATCTGTTCAAACGCACTTGCCACCCAAAAGATGTTCTCAGTAAATATGCCACAGGCATGTGCAAAGTCATATATGGTTAATTATGTGACTGCATTACCAGTGGAAGCCCCAATCCTTAACTCCATGTCCCAGTAAACTGCTGTCTTTTCTCCAGTCTGACTGTACCTCAGATGTCTCCGAGCATCTACAAACAAAGCAGTCTGAAATAAGGAATGGGGGAGAAAATGCAGACCCTGAAAGGACACAAATCATCACAAAACCTGGCCTTGTTAGCTCTACTCCACAGAGCTAGCTCCTTACTAACCCCTCCTCTTCCCTCGATAACACTGAGGGTAAAAGAGACACAGAAGGCAGAGGAGCACATGGGAAATCAAGCACACAGAGGGACACTCTGCAAGGCTGCATTGTAAAGATATCCTTACTTGTATCTCAAGGCTGAATGTTCATGGCACAGCACTTCTTACCTGCTCATCCACCTGCCCATCACTCAGGTTGGTAACCTGGCCATGGCCTTCAGCTCGGCAGCAATGCTTCTGTCACTGAGCTGCAAAGATCACTTTCCCAACCTGTTAGTTTTAGCACATTAGTCCACCAGCTCCGTGTTTTCTAATGCAAACATGCACCACTTGCCTTCATTTTACATATAATACAGCCCATCACCAGCGTGCTCACTATCCCAACACCACTATCCCATGCATCTCTTCATGCTGCTCTTTAGACTTTGGAGGATCCCTTTAAAAATACCAGCAAAAATTTCTCATTAAAACTTCCATTGTAAGAGTGCACCTCAAAGACAAATCCCTACCTGCAAGGCACTTCAGCCCTGAACCAATGGGGAAAACAGTTGTCCAAGCTCACAGCTCAACCCCAAAGCCTTCAGGAGTGTGGCTCAGATATGGCTTCCACACCTTTGCCCAACGTTTCTTTGCTGGCAGGATTTTTACATGGTTATATTCCATGAGTGTAGACTTCTATGAATTTGACATGCAGCTCAAATCTGTTTTCTAGGTGATACATTCAATGCATTTCCTTCAATATCTTGTCCGAGAAGCTTTCCCAATGATCAAACTATTCTAGATTCCTACAATCAGACACTTTCTCAATCACAATTCCTGTTTCTTGGTCAGAACTCCCTTAAGTGCAAGGTAAAAACAGAGATTTTAATCCCATCCAGGCTGGATTCCCACTGCTTTCAATCACTAGTTTTCAAGACACTGAGTACCAAGAAAAGCAATTTCTGCACAAGAAACAGCTGCACCTAAAAGTACAGTTAGAAAGGAAGTTCTTTTGCTGATGCCAAAGGAATGCCTAAAAAGCCACTCCTCAAAGTGCTCCCAAAAGAAGCACAATGAAAAGTATATTAGTTCACACAATGGAAAGAATGAGGACTTGAACCTCACCCAGAAGGATGGCAGGACAAACTTCTTCTGGAATTTGATGGATGGAGATTGCAGAGCACAGGAGTGGCTCGCTCTGCACCAGCAGCCCCTGCCCTGGTGACACGTTCCCCAAACAGAGACCAGAATGATGCAGCACAGAGCAAATTCAGCAGCACCTTGTACCCATTTGTGCAAAGGAGCTGACCTTCCTGTGCATCCCATGCCACGATCACATCGCAGCACAGCATCCTACACTGACTACAGATAAAACCACAGAATGATGTCTCCAAGGTGGGAATGCTCGAATAATACGCATTCATAATTTTGTATTTTTGTGGAAGTTAATGATGATGTAAAACAACGTTACTAAGAAAAGCTCTGAAAATACCAAATATTTACGAGCAGGCAGATCAGCATTTCTATTATGGGATCTGTCACACGGATTCATCATGAATCACTTGGATCCTACACAGTTTATGCAGCTGTCAGAGCTGCAGTCATGACAGCCACAAACCATAACCTTCTTTTAAGATGCATCCGTTATCTGCCATTTTTCAATCATCAAAGAATCAACAAAATTGCATTATACATCATTACAAGGACATGCAGCTGTAACCTCAGAATCAACAATTTCAGTGGTAGGAAGTGACCTCCAATCTCCTACCCTGGAAGAAAGAGAGCACCAAAGGCAGCTGACAGCAGCACTCCCTGCCCATAAAACACCCATCACAAACAGCCCCTTCTCTACATTTCCCTCTTGGTAGATACCACCACATTAATGAATCCAATCCTGTGACGTTCCAGCTTAGCTTCCCACTCACTAGAACAAAAATAGAAACTACAAAGCACTTCCAAGGGTCAAATCCAAGTGAGAACACAGCTCTGCATCTCAAATATGACATTATGAACAGAGTCCACAGGGCTTGCAGAACACAGACAGGTCCGTCCCCTCAAGAGGTAGCAAAAGAATCAACAGAAAATGAAACAGCATGGGAAGATGTTTTTCTATCAAGGAAACGCTGCCAGGAAAGCCAAAACAAAAGTTACACATCAGATCTATTTTCTACAGCTTTACCAGCATAGTGTTAAGGCTGCAAGGCATGGACTAACTGAAGTCAGGAGGAAATCTGCCACTCCTGCAGCTTTCCTCAGCTCACCTTCCAAGGAGGGCAGCTGGAAGCAGCCCAGCACAGGTACTCACCGCTGCTTTGCTGTCACAGCACAGCCTGACATGGCTCCACCATCCACATCCAGCTCCGTCCCAATGGTAAGCAACTCTATCTTCCACCGCTGGAAACAATTCAACACATCCACTGTTTCTGAACACAATTATTTATTGCGTTATTTCAGGATCCAGGAAAGGCCGGGCCTTAATTACAACAACATGTGCAGGGTTGCTGTGTTGGATCCCAATCACTGGCTTCTCAAGGAGGCTTCACTTCTCCAATAAAACATTTGCTTTCCTAACACAGGAGTGACTTTTTGCTCCGGACTGGGATTTACAAAGCACCCTGCCAAGCAGTGCTCCTCGTGCCAAATCACAGTTCTGCACAGCCAGCGTGCAGTGACACGAGGGACAGGTGAGGAGGAGGGCTCTGAAAACCAAAATGTTACTGCAGCTGAAGTGCCATTTACAGAACACACTTCTTTGGAGGGCATCTGCAAGCACGGAAGGCAGAAATTAGATGTACAGCGGTCACTGCAGCTATAATTGCCTATTTGCAACAACAAGAAAGTCAGCTTGTAGATAAGATTAGGAGAAAAGCCCAAATTTACCATTAACACTTGCTGAGACTGCAGAGACTGACAGTGGATTTCTCCTAATTCTCTAATTTTCACAGGTAATTGCGATTATCCCAGCAACGACAGTTTGGCTGACAAGTGAAACAGAGAACAAAATGTGACTGACAGCTTTCAGAGGTATGGGTTACCTCTAACTGTTTCAGATGATGGGTTCCTGCCTCAGCAGCAGCACCTGTGAGAGCCTTCACCTGGACTGTGGTGTACACTGAAGTTGGTTGGAATACTCTTGAAGATTGGATCATGGCAGCCTTGGTCATACCTTCATCCTGAGGGCAGAGCAGCCCGTCTTCATGGGAATTAGAGATGAGCTCATCATAAGATGGTGCTCTATGGTACTGAAAAGGTGACAAATAGAAGAAGAAAAAGGAAGAAAGGAAAAAGTGCTGCTTACTCTTTGGATAT